TCAGGAAATTGGTACCGGACTTGTCCGGGAAAAAAATCACTCCTTGCAATCCAAGTGGGAACGCTCCAGCTCGGCTATCTCAGGGTTCCAGGGAGAATCGATCGATCGACCGACTAGAATCGATCTACGACATTCAGAATGAAATGAAAATCCTTAAGCAGCAAGCGGAGCCACACGTAAAAGTTGGAAGATCACTGTGGACAATGGATGGGAGGAAACGAATCGAAAGTGAGAAGTGCTAGGATCCGCACAGTAGAGGTTAACACGGGTAATATGAAATGGAAAAAAATAACAGTCATCAACATTTTAATACCGACTTCCTAACAACACTAGGGTTATTCTGTCTTGAAAACTGACTTAAATTAAGCCTTAGCAACAATAATCAAAAATTTTCTATATGGTTGAGGTGACATGAGGTTGACATAAAACTTCTGTTTGGTTAACGTTTCCGTCGAACCAACAAATGCCAACATTAATTTTTTCTGATAGAAGTCCTTGCTTTGCATTTTTTATTATGATTTGGCCTGGCACAATTATTGTCCGAATCACGGTAATCTCTCATTCTATTTGTTCCATCATATCCATCAGCTGGAAAGCTTTTCGGATTTGACTGTGGGTTCAGCTGCTGGTTGTGGATTTATGGTCATTTTTATGAGTATCGTTGAACTCCAGTCGAGTCGATTCTCTCTGGAATTCTGGGATAGCCGTGCCAGTGTGGTCGTACTCTGTGATTGGAAGGAGCTTCACATTCTCCCACCATCTCTGCGCTGCCCTTTCCCGCATGACAATAAGGTTTCTATAATGTCTTAGTACTTCATCTGTGTTTAACGTTTCAGTAGAACAATCTCAGTTCTGGTACAAGATCCATTTTTCGTCGCATGTCGCAATTCGATCAATTGCTTCAGCAATGTTTATGTTGCGCGAAAGAAGTACAGGATAGATTTTGCAACGTTAATCACTTTGCCAGTCATTCAGTCCAATGAGCAATAATTTGTGAAACTTTTAGGGAACTTGCCGTTCCTTCGAGGTTTTCTAAAACTATTGTTTTAACAAGTGTTTAAATTGTTGAGCTTACACGAGGTTGATAATAAGGTTTATTCGGCTAACGTTTCAACGTCTTCGTCTTCATCAGAGCCGATGATCCATGTCGGTGGTGTTTGTTTACACCTTCTTCTACGTGGTTTCCAATCGTTAGGCGACTTCAGCTGACTTCTTCAAGCGATCATCATGGTAGGCAGTGTGTTATCTCTGACGCTTCTCAATTTTGAGGTTTTCGGTTCTGTAATTCGACGTCGCAAATCTAAACAGAGCAGAAAGTGGTTCGGATCCGCCTTCTCTAATTTTATTTAAACAGCCTAAATTAGCCAGAAATTAACATGGAGACGAAAAGTGGTGAAAGAGTGAAGAGTAGACAGCGCTTTAGCACTCTCGCTGTAAAGTGGACTTCTCTACAGCTGCTAATTGCTTTTTGATAATTACGCTGGAGAGATCGAGACCGTGGTCGTATAGAACCTTGCACTGTCAGCCTGATAGTACACGTAGTTTTTCTGAAGCAGCGTTGCTTTTTTGACTTGTTGAACCATGTTTTTAAGAGTTCTAATAGGAGAAGAAAGTGTTATTTTTACATAAGTGCAGTAACGGTCCGCATTGAGGGCTCATTCAGAGACTATGAGATTGAGAGACAAAAATCGGTTTAAGAAAAAGACTCATCGCTGTACAAACTTGAAATTTCATCGTGATAAATTTGGCTAACCTACAGTTTATTGGCAAAGATCTGTGAATCCACATGGTTTTCATATTGATCTAAAGTCGAGAGGCGAGGTCGCTTTCAGACACGTACGCATTGAAGTCGATACATATTGTTGCGATTGTTCTAACAGGGCTTTATGATATGATCACACGTGCATTTATATTTAAAAGAAAATCGTCAAAATCCGAGAAGACAAAATCAACGCGACTTTTTTGAACAGCCCCACACTTCTTAAATGAGAAGGTGGCGATCTGAGTTAGCGACAATTAGTATGCGAAAGATATTTCCTATCTGTTCCGTCATATAGCAGATCTTATGTTGGAAATAGATGCTTGAAATTATTTATTTGCCATCATGTACAGTTTAATGAGTTCACCAGATGGCAAGCTTCAAAAGTGTTACGAAAAGTATTCGGGGTGATACACAATTTAGAAGCGAAAGAGTGATCAGCTTGTTAAAGCGCCAGCAATACACGTTCCATTTATCACTACTAAAAAGGCATGGCTGTCGTAACCAATGGGGACGGTATATTCTTCTGGAGATGATCGCCTGAATAATTCTGCGCGGACCTGGCACTTGTTTAGAAAAGGGGTCACAAAGAACGGATTGTTGTTTCGTAGATCGCCGTAATGAGTATGATATCCATGACGATACTGAGAGCTTGCAACTATTTAACTTTTCAAAATACACTTCTGTTACAGGTGATTTTATACACCGCTGATCATCCCTGAATTACAAAATGTGCTCCGTGTTTCCGGGTGAAAAATGGATTCATTATGTTGACTTTTTTTATTTACTGCCTGCTACTCTGAACGGCAACATGTGCGAAATCAACCACAACGATGATGAAATTGTTGCAAAACTCTGGAAGGCAAGCGTCTGCGGTGGGGATCGAGCACGTTATTACCCTTTCTGGAGGCTAGATTCCTGGCTTCCAGAGTTTTGCAAATACCTGTTAATCATTGTGGTTGATTTGGCATAGTATCTTGCCGTGAAAATTGTGCTACGCAGTAAATAAAGAAGTCAGCATTGTAATTTCGACTGCAGCCCCTGTTTAACTAAGTGCAATGGCTATTTGGACACTCCAAATTAATCCCGTTGATGAGTGGTTGTTGATTGCACTGGTAGACAGAAAAACTAGCTGGGAGGAAAGCGAAACGCGCATGGTGTGGTGGTGGACGCGTTAGCATCCGAAAAGGGAAATGGCGTGTTCGATCCCCACCCCATACACCCGCTTTCCAGAGCTTAGCGAATATCTCAGCATCATCATGGATTCACTATGTTCGATTTCTATGGGTGTAGATTTAGTTCCGTGTAAATGTGAAGAAATCTTATTTCTATGATTCCTCTGATCAGAAAACTTCTTGTCAATTTTGAACAAATTCAGCACATGCTGAGAACGGTTCATTCAGCATTGTTTATGACTTGAACAACACTTCACTCTTAAAAATGGAATGCTCAGTAAGTAATTTCTTGTTTCATAAAGATGATGCATTTCTCTTCGACCTATAATCGAGAGCCAATCGACTCGTCTCATCGCGCTCTCGATGCTGCGTGGAGGTCGTTGCAAACGGAAAAGGTGGTTGACGTCGAGAAAGATGTGTCAGATGACTGGATTCAGTTAGAGGACGAGTTTGTCAGTGTATATGCGGTACGATGGCTTGCTTATGACCAATAGTTATTTACTGTATGAACGCGTGTAGTGCAATGTTTAGAGGTGCCGGCGATAAACATGTCGTTGGTTCTATCTCGCACTCTTAAGTAAGCCCACATCTATTTATGACCGGCGGGAGATCGACGTCAGACTTGAGAAGTAGACTGACAACTAAGCGCTTTACGCTTTTAGTGTTGACATCCCTCATCCAGGGGATTTCGAACCCTTTGGTTGCTAGGCTAAGTGAGCCACGTATCGATTGCAATAAAAGATTGATTTGCAGAAGGGGGTCTACTGCGTATGATTGACTTATGCACTGATGTTCGGACGCAGTCAGTTAGTAATCAATTCGCAATTATGTCCTTAAGAATTCTACTCTGTACGGCACTTTAGAAAAAAGTCTGCTATCATGTGGCAAGTGGTGCCTGTCCGCAATTTATTCATTACAAAAGTGTGGTAGATTTCTTGGACCGGACTTGATTTTGATGTTGAGAAGTTCTTAACAGAATTGCATGTTTACAGGTAACGTTGCCACACATCTCAAGCAACGCCCCGTTTGCTCCACAAGCGCGTTTGAACGACGATCGAATCTACCTAACCTACATTCTACGCAAAGACATTCCGAGTCGATTGAGTCTCATTAAATTCCTGATCGCTATTGAAAGTCAAAAGCACCTGAACATGCCTTTTGTGAAAGTAGGGCACTAATACTTAATATGTTTCAAAATTCAGTTAACACTGTAAAACTAACTGTGGAAGTGATGCCATGAAGCATTTTCACCATGAAATACGCTCTTGTTGAATTCATAGGCCACCGTACTGAAGCGCAGTTGTTTTGCTCCCAGAAAACGATTACTTGTATAGCGAAACGGTTTTCAACCGCGGAATCCACAAGCGCTAGTTAACAATGTTACAAAAGTGGTGGACTTCTACGATCATATCTTGGAAAGATTTTTCATAACAAGGAGAGAAGGGTAAGGATTGATAGCGAATCTTCTAGCATTTCATTTTAGGTTGTGGAAGTTGGTGCTTTCCGACTTGAACCGTTGGTTTCTGGATCATACATTGTCGTCGACGGAGAAGTAGTGGGAGCAACGAAGATACAAGCGGTGACGAGCACATTGAAGATGGCGAGTTTCGCACCTCCGCTGGAAAGGAGAGACAACGCCTGATTCGCTCATTCGGTTGATCTACTGCAGAACTTTGTAATTTGAGCCATAAGAAAGTCTCAGTTACTTCTCTAGTGATGTTCAGCTAGTCATTAAGGACAGTACACGCTTGTTCGCACATTTTTTGTTGAATGTTTTTTCTTTTCTGATCACATCCAAAACCACCCTCTTCTCTCTATCTCAGCTTTGCACTCATCACATTTAAAAGAAGTCCACTTGATAATTTTACTAAGAGCCCTACTCTATACTTCCATTGAATTGCTCAAATTTTAAGGATTACTTTACATTGTTCTACTGCATAACTACAGTATTCACTCAGACGGCAAGCCATTTTTCGAATTGTTCCCATTCGCCTGTTCTACGATTATCACTTTGGGCTTTTGTGTATTCATTTCTCGACCGTATTCCGACTCTTTTTGGTTATGAAATGTTTCCTGCTAAAGCGTTTTCTGAACGAATGGCTATCATCAGAGGACCTCTGGATGTGACTTTGAAAGCCAGAAACTGCAGCGGCAGTATTGTAAAATGGATAAGTGCTCGAAGTGGAATGTTTTTTGCACGGAAAGAAACACGCCACCATATTCCAATAGGTTTACAATAGGTTTAGAAACAAAGTGGAAAAGAAATCCGATCCAGTCTTGGGATCACAGCAAGAGACATAAGCTCATATTGTCGTCGAGGTATTTAGGATTAACACGAACTTATCAAAACTAACTAGAGAGAATCGCATGCGTGGCCCGTGTGGCGCTCTACAACACACGTGGAATCGATCCTTGCGCCCATGGACCACTAAGCCTTTCATTCCTCCTGGGTCGGCAAATTGGTACCAGACTTGTCTGGAAGGATAGCAGCACTGGGTCGATACATCGGTAGGCCACCGCGAGTCATTGTAAAGGCCAGATATATATTCAATCACCTCCAAACGATGCTTAGTGAAGTCGAATGCATGATGCATCCCTCAGGGATTAATCAACGCCGAGAGCTCTATCCTTTTTTTAACTAAGGAGAAGAACAGCTAATTGTCAAATGTGAGCTCGACGTGCTCAGCCCATACGGTATGCGTGGTCAGTTCGTTCCATCTATGTATCGTTTCATCAGTCATCCGTCGTTTCATTATGCGACCATCACATTGTGTTTTTAAGGCGAAAGAAGACCAGAAAAACAATAGCCATGACGAAACCAAAAGAACAGAACACTTCTCAATAAAATATAACATGATGACTAATTCCGACCCATTTCAGGACATTAGCGACAACGTGACCACTGTAGGCGTCATTTATAATGCGACATTGCAGTCGGTGTAGTCTCTATAGAGGTCATTCGATTTCCGATACTTTATTTTGGCGCACAGAACCCTTTTACTACATTTCTTTTTTGATCAATCGATGGCTTGTTCAACTCAAACGTTAAGTCGACCGTCAACCAGGAAGCGCTCTGCTTTGCACTTAGAAATATATCTCGCGAGTTCTTTCAGTTTTCGAAGGCCACTGTTACTAAAGTTTTCCTTCTCTTTGTTTTCTTTTTACTTACAAGCGATCTGTCATTTTCGGTGAACTTTCGGTCATCATGCGGTCCGGTCTTGACACGACATTCTGTTCTAGTGATTTGTGTAGAAGTGCGTGTATGTATACGTCAGTCTCTCTCGCCTCCTTCGTCGGGCTGTTTGATAACTCCACATCGGATTCAAAGAGGTGGTTGATCTGTTTCATTATCGAAGGCATTTCTAAATCTGAATTGGTCATTCAGATGCTTACTGCATTCACTTCATAACAACTATTTTAATGATCTATGCTGTAGTAGTAAACTGTAGTAGTAACGGTTATATTCTTATCAATCGGAGAACGGTGATTGGCAGCATGTGACCCCAGCTTCGTTAGGTATCATCCTTATTTTGGTTGTTTTTTTTTCCTTTTTTGACATGTCAGTCATTTTTGAGTGTATGTCGTATGGATGAGGTAATAGCGAAGAGTTCAAAGTAGCCAATCTTCCACCTAAACATGATTCGTTTCTGAATTCGAGGTACTGCCCAATGTCTAGTTACGATTTTTAGAAACTGGTTGGATTTTGAGATGTAGTATACGATTACGATTTTCCTTCCGACGGTTTACCTCCTCATCGTAACTGGGAGGTGTTCCTGGGTGTCGGGCTGCGATGTGCAGCGGTGGATTCATTTCCCTTCGGCAGGGTTTCCCAAGCTGAGGAGTCCGGCATTTCCATCAAGAAGCCTAGCTAAGAGGAAACCTATACCAGAATCCACCACCATCCTGATATCAAACTGGTCGCATGGTGGGAAATTTCCCTCTGATTCACCACGGCGGCGACTGCATGTGACAGCGACGACCAGGGGCAGACTTTGGCCTGACTCACCTCGGGACTTCAGAGAGCCACAATGGCTAGAGCAGCAGAACTCCGAAAAAAACGGGAATTATGCTGGGCCCCGCACAACTAGTGGAGACGGGCCATCCAATTAAGTAAGTATCATTATAAATACTTGAATTCGGATGTTGTGGGGACTGATACTACTTTTGGAACCATTATTTTCTTCTTGAAGGTGCTCGCTGGTCATGTACAGTGCAGTAAGGAATATTTTTTCTCATTCTTTTTTGTATCCATAGACTGTTTTACCGATTGACTATCTGGTTATTGGTTGATTTACTGATTTTTGACTGAGTTAAAGCGTAAACAACTTTGGAATTTCAGGTAATGATCAGTAGAAATGTCAGCCGGATATGGAAGGTTCTACGAAATGTGAGATCGCTCCACCAATCGCACATTAACCTTGAACAATGGCGAAAGAGTTACAGTGTAGGGTATATCAAACCGGAATTGGGTGACAAGAAGCCAACACATATAGTTGTTGGCGCAGGATCAGCCGGATGTGTCGTAGGTACGGGCTTTGCTCTTATTATCCTACGTTATTGTTTGGTTTAAAATGGCTGCTAAATCCTATGATAGTAATGGGAACGACTGTTAGAGATTCGAATAAGTCCAAATCCTATGTGTAGATGACTGCCTTCTGAAAAAAGTTACTTGCTTTACTTCCCTTGCTTTTAAAATTCGGGGTTAATACTCTCGTGTTCCATTTGGATTTTCAGGTTTAAGATCTATTTGTTATATTATTATGGTTAATTTATTTCCCTTCCAACGGTTTACCTCATAGTGGCTAGGAGGTGTTCCTGGCTGTTGGGCTGCGATCTACAGCATGGAGATTCATCCTCCCAGCAGGGTCTGCCAAACGAAGGAGTCTGGCGTTTCCATCGCGAACCAAGCTAAGAGTAGACCAATAGCAGGATCCACCACCACTCTGGTACCAAGCTAGTCGTATGGTGGCAAATCTCCCTCTTGTCCACAAAGGCGGCGGATGAATGTGGTGGTGGCGACCTGGGATAGACTTTGACCAAGTTGACTTCGGGACTCCAGGGATCCACACTGGCTAAACAAGCAAAACTCCGAAAAAGTACAAATTATGCTGGGCCCACACTTCCAGTGAAGACGGGCCATCCAGGTATCATTTATTTCCTCTGGCTAACGCCTGTTTTACCGTTCCGTTAGAAAACCGTCTAAAAATTCGAAGAAGTATTCTGTTAACGATCATTTGTCTTTTTCTGTAAAAAAGAATCTTTGAAATGTTTTTGGAAGTGATGTATGTGACGGAGTGTAGATTTCAGCTGCTCGGTTATCGGAAAATCCTGAAAATAGAGTCCTGTTGATAGAAGCTGGTCCACAGGACTACTGGTGGGATTGGCGAATCCATATGCCCGCAGCGTTGATGCACAATCTCTGCCATGATCGATACAACTGGTTTTACCACACAGTAGCACAGAAGAACGTTGCGGATCGAGTTTTCTATTGGCCGAGAGGCAGGTGCGCTTGTATTCGAATGATAGAATCACTTTGCTTAGCGGGAACAAGTTCCTTTTTGAAAGGATACTAGTTAGTGCGGTCACTAGTGCGGAAAACGTAGTCACGTGAAAAGTGTATAGCCCAAATTTTTAGTATGGTTGAATGATCAGTTTGGTTTTACAATTTCGAAAGCGATGGGTTTTTCTTTCTTCTAAACATTTTAGTGGTAAGTGCGGTCGTACATTCTAATAAACCTAATACTTCCTTCAAGAGTATGGGGTGGATCTTCATCGCTGAACGCTATGGTTTATGTTCGTGGTCATCCATTGGATTATGATCGTTGGGAATCAGAAGGAGCAAAAGGATGGAATTATGAGAATTGTCTCCCTTATTTCAAAAAGGCTGAGACTTACAACTGCTCTAAGGTGTTTTCGTTTTTAATAACATACAACGTCTAACTTCCCTGTCATATCATCCCTTTTCCGCTCACACGAAATTTTAGGGCCCAAGTGATCCCTATCGAGGTTATAATGGGCCGCTCCATGTCACCCGAGGCTCCGCAGAGCATCCACTGCATCAAGCTTTTCTGGAGGCCGGACGACAGCATCCCATAGGCTCTAGCGAGGATATGAACGGTTACAAGCAGGAAGGACTAGCCCGGATGGATATGACAATTTATAAAGGGAAACGGTTCGTGAGTACTTATGTGTTCGTATGGCTTCCTCGTGCAAGGTTTGAAATGTTCAAAATGTTGAATACGGGGTCGTTTTCGTTTGTACACCACCATTATTACTTTCGGATGTAAATTTAACAGTTCTACTTGAGTTTGGCAATATAACACTAATCAGTTATATTGTTTTCATATGTTGGCATAACTAACATAATAAAATTATTCGCTCATTAGCTTTACCCCAGCTCAGGAGTTCTACTTTATATCGCCTTGTTTTCATTTTGTCTTTACTATTACTAGATGGAGTACGTCATCTGCCTATCTGAGACCTGCACTTTCACGACCTAATCTCCACACCTCTTCTGGGATAACGTGTACCCGCGTTCTGTTTGACGGTAGTAGAGCAGTCGGCGTCGAGTTCATTAGGTTAAATCTTGAGTTTTAAACTTTGTTTTTCTACTTACGCTTAGTTGACAGCTTCAAATTTTCAGGAAGATAAACTTTTTCGGCACAGATAATATAGATTCTTATAGCCGAGAAAAGATATATTGTGAAGGTGACGTAATTATTTGTGGAGGTGATTTTTTTCTTTGAAAGTATGTTAGGTGTTAACTTCTTATTTACTGCCTGCTGCTATTCGGAGAATACAACCACAATAACGCTATGATATTTGCAAAATTCCGGACCGCAGGTGTTTGCGGTGGGAATCGAACACTCACCCTTTCCGGGGGCTAACGCGTTCACCACCACGGAATGCGGGTCCTTCGTTTCGCTTGTCTCTCAGCTGGTTTTCTACCTTTGCCAAGTGTGTTTGAAACATGGTAAATGGGAATTTGAAACATATCGCGTTTATTTCACTGTTTTTAAGTATAAATCAGGTGCCATAAACTCCCCACAATTGCTGATGCTGAGTGGTGTTGGTCCAGCAAATCATGTAAGAGCTCATGATATTCCGCTTGTTGTCGATTTACCTGGAGTTGGTCAAAACCTTACTGTAAGTCGTTTTAAAAATTTTCCTTTATTATGATAGTAACTCCTGTTTATGAATTGTTTTACAGGATCACCTCGAAATTTATGTACAGCAGAAGTGTACAAAGCCAATTACGCTCTACAACAAGAGCTCATGGAAATTCCCACATAATATGATAAAGATTGGACTCGGTTAGCCGATTATTCGATATTGTAATTAAGTGAGATTACAAATTTAACTGTTGACATCACATTCTAGTTGAGGAGTTTAATTGCTATAAGTACAGGTCTAGAAGGAATATGGTTCGAATCATATAGCTATTACATATTGTACCACGAAAGGTCGTAATGGTACATTACGAAAGAATTGTATTTTATATTAAACATTATTAGTACATTCTTTAATGTGCTTTCTTCTTTCCCGACGGTTTGCCGCTTCATCGTGGCTGGGAATTGTGCCTGGGTGTCGTGATACGATGTGCAGCAGGAGTATTCGTCACTTCGGTTTGGTCTCCCAGGCTGAGAAGGAGTCCGGCGTTTCCATCAGGAAAATCCTTCCCCTGATCCACAAGGGCGGCGACCGCCTGTAGTGGTGACGACTTGGAGCAGACTTTGCCAAGGCTGACCTCTGGACTTCAAAGATCGACAATAACGAAAGCGGCAAAACCCCAAAGAAATGGAAATTTTGCTGAGGCCCGCACAACCAGTGAAGACAGGTCATCCAATTATCCATACGTAATTCAGCTTTTATATAAGGTAGTGTGCACTGGTTTCGAATGTGCCCAAAATTATTTGTGAGTTCCAAATTCAAAGAAACGTGGATGACATCTAGGCGAATTCTATTGTTTAAAATGGGAACAAATTATCCAGATCCGTGGCGAACCATGAAAAGGCTTTGATTTCCTGAAGCGGCCGTGGTTTCCTCTCCATTGAGGCTTCCTTCTTTTTCGGTGTGCGGAAGCGGACGCGGTAGTATCTATGGATTCACCACTGGTTTTTGCGGCTGCCGTCGTAATGCTAAACTTTTTAAAAACTTGTTAAATTTGGAGTTCACAAAAAATCCGAGAAAACTGTATCTCTAGAGCGATAGAGCAGTGTTTTTTTATAAGTCTCTAAAGTGTTCAGGATCTTAAGTATTAATCGAAATGATCGTCGTAATATGAATCAGTGAAGAATGAAAGATTTGTTGGAGGGTTTTTACCATTAATAGACTATATGCTTTTCATGGGCGCGTGTGGCGCTGTGGTGGGAGGTGCCCTGCAACACACACGTGTAGTTGATCCCCGCGCCCATGGCTCTTCAAGCCTTCGATCCCTTCGGGGTCGGCAAATTAGTACCAAACTTGTCTGGGAGGATAGCAGCACTGGCTGGATACATCAGTACCATGAAAAGGTCATTGTTAAGGCGAGATATGCATTCAGTCGCATCCGAACGATGCTTAATGAAGTCGAATGTATGGCTCATCCCTCGTGCATTGATCAACGCCGAGAGCTTTATCTTTTTTTATCCTTTATACTTTTCATAGGGTCACATTTCGCTTCTTTATAGCTTTAAAGACCAGATGTACTATGCATTAGACAGGAATCTGTAGTCTTTTCTTTTAATCCTTGTAGTGGCATGATAGACATGATAAATCAATGGAGTAATCTATATCTACTTTTTCTGCTTGAAAGATATAGTAAATGCTTAACTCATGATGTTTGATGGAGATCTCTATTCCGTATTAGTATTATAGAATGGTTTGCTACGCAGAAGGGACTGGGAGCGTCTAGTCATCTCGAGACAGGTGGTTTTGCAAGATCGTCTCCTGAGAGAGCTCACCCAGACATACAGTTTCATTTCCTACCATCAACAGTTCATAATGATGGTAGAAGCGTTGGTAACTGTCATGCCTATCAGGTGGTACATCTCTTAAGATATATCTTTATCTATACCATTCGAGATTTTGAATTTCCTTCTGTATTGAAGGTACACGTTGGTACTATGCGAACGAAATCGAAAGGGTGTATAAAGTTGGCGTCTAAGGACCCAAGAAGATATCCAATCATTGATCCAAACTATTTAGATCATGAGGATGACTGGAAGGAGTTCAGGTATGTCTCGTCTATTTGTCACTAGTTTTGAAATCTTTGCCGTTGTTTATTCGTCATACATTCTGTCTATTTGCATGTAACGCAGTGGTTTGAGGCTCCTTGTAATAAACATGGGGTCGATCCATGCCTCCCATGCCCACCAAGTCCTCCATGCCCCCGGAGTCGACAAATTGGTACCAGACTTGTCTGAGAGGATGGTAACTCTGACAGGACACATTGGTAGGCCACCGCGAGTCATTGTAAAGTCCAGATATGCATTTAGTCACTTTCAACGATGCTTAACGAAGTTGAACGCATGGCGCTTCCCTCAGGGAAAGGGTCAACGCCGAGAGTTTTATCCTTTATCCTTTATCTATCTACTTGGTTACAGTTTTCTGCTTTGTCGATCTTTGTGGACTAATTTTTGTTTTTTTCTCGAGTTATAGAATTTTCAGTTTAGGAAATGTATCCGTTTATCACGCGAAATTTTTGCCCAGAAAGCATTTGACCCATACCGAGGTGAAGAACTTGCTCCGGGGAAAGAAGTTGAGTCAGACGCACAAATTGATAACTTCGTTAGGTACGATACTTTGTCCTCTTTTTCACGCTTTTTGTTGCACATCCTCTTGTATTAATTTTGCAGAGCAATGTCTGCGTCGGCATATCACCCTTGTTGTTCGTGTAAAATGGGTTCGAAGAATGATCCTATGGCAGTGGTTGACCCTGAAACATTGTCTGTGTATGGAACTGAGAATCTGAAGGTAAAGCAGGTCACTTCAGAGGTGAATATGGATTTGATACATTCTATTCTTCTAGGTGATAGATGCGAGTGTAATGCCTTCGATCGTGAGCGGCAATCTGAATGCAAGTGTAATTATGATGGCTGAACGCGCTTCTGATCTCCTGCAAGGGAAGAAGCTGCCACCAACAAAAGTCCCTGTATGGGGTGGCGGAACAAGGCAGTCCTGATGACAGGGCCAAATGCTACTGGAGGTTATCATTTAGTGAAAAGTTGTTGATTCTCAATTCGAAAACTGCTCCGCCCTAGATCCTCATTTTTTGGTATCCTACATCACGTTAGATCTGAAACTATCTCTCACTTCTTCAACCATTGCTCCTGTAATTAGTGCTGGTTTTAAACGCAATCTCGTGATGAGCTAAAACGTTCACAGAGATTTGGTTTCATTGAACTGTCAAATGACTGGTGTAATGACTTTTTTGGACCATGAGGTTGAGCCTGTGATTAATAGATGTCCTTTATTTTGTATTCTAAAGAAATACCAGGGTTTTTACATCACCCTTGTCCTTATACCATGTTCTTTCGAGAGAATGTGATAGCGGCATGTTGCGCAGATGTTTATATCTATGAATGAAAGCTGTTTTATATTGTTATACCATTGAGTAGGGTGCAATATTTGTGTGTGATGAGGATATCTCTGCAAGTTTGTTAATCGTTATGACGCCATGATATAAAGTTTTTTTTTATCACTGATGGGTTTTCTGGTGGTCTTTGTGCTATTATTTCACATATATCTATTTGTATTTGGGAGGCATTGTGTTGTATCTTAAACTGTGGAAAACGATGTAGTGTTAATAGATATGGCGTTACCAAAATTTGAGTTTTGTGATATCGCTGCCAACCCGACCGGGTGGGGACCACTAGGATCACCGCCGGCACTGGACACTTCCATACCGTTTCAGCAATACAACAAGGTAAAACACCTCATATTCTACTGATCGGTATAGGTCACTTAAATTTTAAAGATATATTTGACAAACTTAACCGTTTTATTATAAGGGTTAAATAAAAGGGTTAAGATTGTGATTATAACTAAGCCTCAGCTTAACTGGGTTCAATGCCGATTTGGGCTTCCCAGATCAATCTCGTTGACGGGTGATTGCTGACGGCAAAAGGTCGTTAGAACTAGCTGAGAGACAAGCAAAACGAAGGATCCGGATGGTGTGGTGGTGAGGTGCGCTGCTACCCGGTAAGGACAACAGCGTACGAGTTATATTTGACAAAGTTTATTCACTAATTGTAGCTCCATTGGGGATTGCGGCGAAGGGATTCATCATCATCTATCGAACATCTGTCGAAAATCGTACTAGAAAGTATTGTATTATGCCAACCAATTTAATCTCATGTCATCCACTCAATGGCGTAACCGAAAAGGACGCCTAAGATTTGGTTAAAATTCGTAGTATGGAATATGTAGATGTTTTCCTATCCATTGGGCAGTGCTTAACCGTTTGTTGATTCTTCATTGAATATTTGTCATTATCTATTCGGTGATTTCTATGTTCGAGAAACGTTCTTATCTGGTCTACTGTGTTGGTCATTGGTTCGCTGCAGTTTGTAACCATGGATGCGAAAAACGTATTGGCTCTTTAGCGGTGGCATAAGTTTCAGTATTACATTGCTTTCTCGTTTCAGTATTTGCCAGTTAGTTATCGTATTAGGTCGGAACATCGGATTACATTTTTCATTTACCTGATACGAAATATTCCCTGCACGGTACTCAGTAGTGCGGTCGATAGCTGCGATTAGTCTTCCACCCTTCTCATGTAGCATTCAAATTTCTAACGTAGACGTCAAAAGGAGGGAGAATCATGGGGTCGAAAAGGAGAAAAGAAAACTTGTCAGTATCTATCGTTTTCGTTAAATCGACGATGTGGTTGTAAGTACCCCAAGCCGCTCGTTTTCTGCTTAGTAGGTCTTTAATTATGTTGTTTATCATGTTGACTTCATGACGAACTAACGTATACCTGGGTCATTCCGGTGTATTCTTTTCCTGGAGCGCGAAGGGCACATCAGAAACCAATCCGCTTCTCGTCAGCGTCTTTGAAGCTCAGCCAAATACAGTTTTTCTAAATGAACTGTAGAAGTTGACCAGTAATCGTACTGCCTAGCTAGTGGTCTACGTTATAAGAATGAGTAGAGATGTGACTATCCATTGCACCTTTGGCTGCTCTTGTATTAGTTGAGTTGAAGCCCTTTTCAAGTCGATGAAAGTGGCCAGAGTAGTCTCTTTTATTCGTGAGATACCTCAATCAATTTCTTTTTCTGTGAATATTGTCCACCTTGATCATCTTTTTAGAACCCATACTTGCTCGTGTTGTTGATATTTTCAGTATCCTGCTAGTCTCTTGAATAAAACTTGTGCTTGGATACAAGCTCGAGTGTCTATTTGGAATAACATATTTTAATGGTTTTTAAGCTCGGTTTTTAGTAATAACTGAAAGGTATTGGATTCTGGATCGTTATTGGAACCTGTCGTATTCTTGATCGATGTTTTCGATAACGACATCTCCCCAAAAGGCAACTGATTATCTGAACAGAATTGGATTTATGATGGTTTTAGGGTTTTTTTTCGTGAATTTTATAGCTTTTCCTCCTACCCAAGAACAGTTTTATGCGAGATGCGGTGGTTAAGGATAGGATCTCCCTAGTCTTCAATTTCTTAAGAAGTAATCCATTTAGTAATGATATTCTCTACTGGAGCTCAGGAGTTCAGAGGAAGCCTTTCAGAATTTTTAACTAGCATGGATAGTTTTAATATCGTGAAGAACTCAGACAGCTTATCTTCGAACGATGAACTTGTCAAGCGCAGGCTGACATTTTCTTAACCATAGAGGTTTATTTGGATCATTCATTCTTCAAGGGAATCCATGTTCTTATCCAGTTGTTAACGATAACGCCAACGTAACCAGTTTCTATACCAGTGGCTGTTTCCGATTGGTAAAGTCCGTAGCAGGAACGGCGTTTGAGCGATCTCTCTGCAGAGAGAATTCAGGATGATTGGATCCCATAATAAACAGACAATTTAATAATAGTCCCTCAATTTCGGAGGTAAAAACTTTCCTCTCAATGAGTAGACCAATGGACAGTTCTATTTCTTAAAAAGTATTAAATCTATGATATGTCAGCCCTCTTTTATACGTTTTTTGCCCTACAACTAAATGTTTTATATGTTTTGAAAAATCTTACCAAGAGCTGACAGAAATGTGGATGAATGATGGATGAGTTTTTCTTTATCAAAACCGGGAATTGAATATTTCCCAAAAGCATGGAAAAATGTACATAAGAACATATATAATCGTATGACATAAAAACAACAGAAATGAGCGGCAAGAGGAGATCTATCAAAACTAAATTATGAGGCGAAAAATACGTGAATGGAAGTGGTCATTTTTGGGGGTATGCTAGGCGCCATGTTTTGATTTCAACTCACACCACGCCCACCGAAGAATTATGCTTTGTTGTAACCCGCCATGCCAAATTAGGTATGATCGTATAGACTGTTTTATGACTTTATAAAAGAGTTAAAGCAAACGTTTTATATACAGAAACAAGCATTTGAAAGTCCGAGTTCTCTTATACACTTTGTTTGGAGAGGTGTCCCAAAATCTGATCTTTTGAATGGACCTTTAATTGACATTTGAAGGAAACATTTTTTATACAATGTAACCCACATTCTCTCATTTTAAGGCCGACCGTATCGGACGTGTTGCTGATTGGATTGGAGTTGATCGATTCTTTTATCGAAGGGGCAATGAACGGTTAGATAGCTATAGTGTAGTAGTTGTTGTCCATAAGTTGAAGTTACTGTGTTAGCGTAAAGTGTTCTCGATGAGCTAGCACTCACGGCCTCTAAGAGTAGAAGAAACACATGAATCAGCGCCTAACTTTGTAAACATTCTTAAAGGTTTTTTTTTCTGAATATAGTTTTTCCAGTTATAACGAACGAATGTATGGATCGGCCGCGAACGCAGGAAGTCAATTCGATTATGTGCACGGTATGGACGAAAACAACTTCCAATTGGTATAATATCTTATAATGTTATAATACTTATAATGTCTATTTGTACAACATTTTTATTTTCTGTAAGAATTGTTGAAGGTAGACTCGTCGAAGCCGGTGCAACGCAATCCACAGCGTAATTTTCGCGCAAGACAGCTTCAATTTAAGAAATTGCTCCAAAAGGAGCAGGAAAGACGTGATCAAGCAATGCAAGGGCAGAATCTGAAAATGAAGAGAAGCATTGCAAAGTAGGATTTCGTTTTCTTAATATTTTGTTGTTATCGTTCTACTTTTAATGATGGATTTAGTTATGTCCAAGTAGAATTGACCTTGAGAAAAGATAAGTTCTCTTAGGGAACAACAGCGTGCGTTTAAGATGTGGCAACGTCGGGGTGGAAACGCCCGTCAAGGGCAGCGTGGTCCTGGTGGCCGCTACCCAGGCGAGAGACCGAAGGTGAGTGCAGTCAACATGTATAAGTTGTTGAGCTTATACGAGATTGATAAATAGATTTATTCGGCTAACATTTTGACGTGTTCGCCTTCATCAGAACCAATGATCCGTGTCGATGGTCCACAATTATCAAGCTTATGTAGGCTCAATAATTTAAATGTGTTGATTAGTTTTCCCGCTCAGTTTGAAAGTTGGTGAGCTTGGCATTGTACTTTTTGGAGTTTATTGATCTTCCAGTAATATATATATATATACATGTATATATATATATATATAATATATGAGTCAATTATGGTCCTTTCAAGGCCATACTTGTTCCTTACAAGTACCATACCTATAAGCATATATTACTTATCATCAGACTTCATATTTTCTTTTCTCCCATCACGGCTGACTTTTGTAAAGGTAGCTTCGTAATGTTTATGTAGTCATGATAATTTAGCACTGCAAGGAAATCAAATCCTAGTCGGGATTTGGTTGGTTTTGTGAAGACTGTTAATGATAAGTTGAGCTAGGTGAATTTCCTGTTTCTTCAATAGCCTGACGCATTCTGCCCTTCTTCTTCTGTATTTTCTAGTGACCAAAAAAATAATAAAGTAGTAGGTACATCAAACGCTGTGCATGATAACCTTTGTTAATCAAATATTGCACTGTAGAAATACTCTTTTATTTGAAAAGATGTTTACTCAAATGTCCGATATTCCGACTCGTCTCGTGAATCATTTTTGCATTTTTTCTTGATGAGCTTACACGAGATTGATAAATATATTGATTTTCGGCTAACGTTCCGACGTCTTCGTCTTCATCAGAGCCGGTGATCCGAGTCGATGGTCCACGCTTGTTATTCGTCTCGATATGGCGGCTTTGCCTTCGTGTCGAGTCAGGTCTTCCCTAGGGGGCCATCTCGTCGAATGAGGCATACTCACTTGGTGATGCCCTTTTATACACGATGCGTTCGAAGTCCGCTCCATCACATAGGCTTCAGATCTATTCAAGAGAACTCGAGAAGCCTTTCCGTGTCTCCAGGAAATGGTGGTACTGGTATTGTCCCTACTTTTTATTCTTCGTGCCTATTTTGATTATTCACACCGAGGTTAAAGGAAAGTCGGTTTCGAAATATTACTATGCTTTGTACTAGCTGATAATAACACCGACTTCTGCACGATTCATTGTCCGGAGAAAGAACAAGTTGTTATCACCAGACATGTTATATCGATCATCAGCATCGTGTATAAAAGGGCATCACCAAGTGAGTATGCCTCATTTGAGGAGTTGGGCCGCTAAGGAGGACCGAACTCGACGCGAAGGCGGAGCCGCCATGTCGAGACGAATAACAGGTGTGGACCATCGGCTCGGATCATCGGCTTTAATGAAGACGAAGACGTAGAAACGTTAGCCGAGAATAAATATAAGCTTGTAAAAAAATAGGCTAAAGAGGCTACAAGGATAGAAATAGGCTATAAACTTGTAAAATAAAACGTCAGCTTGTACGTAAATAGATAAAATAGCACCTCGTGTTTGCTGCACAGAAGTAGAAAGAAAATAGATTTATCAACCTCGTGTAAGCTCATCAAGAATGAATACATCTGCTTAGTAACACCGAGGCTAAAGAAAGTCGGTTTCGAAATCATTTTTGCTTCTCTTCTCCATGCGTGAACGTGTCACTAAGAAAATTGCTTAAAAATTTATTAGGCAAAAATGGTTTTCCTTGTCTTTTGATGCCACAATATTTTATGTCACTTAAGAATAGCTTATCTTGGCAATTTTAAAATGATCTCATTGCTTGCTCATCTGGGAACGACAGACACCTGAAAAAATGAGAAAAAACCGCTTCTACTATGTTTCACTTTGCATGACATTGACAGAGAGATGTGGGGTTTAGAATGCGAGATTGACAGGTTTAGATGGGGTTATGTGGTATGTGATTCATTTCTCGAGGTAAAGCTTCTTAGTTTTACTGCGAAGAGGCGTTCAGTGCTTATCACAGTTCACTTACCTCTCCACAGTGCAGTTGAATTTGGAAGATTAGTTTCTTTATAACTCGTATATAATGCTGAGATATTTGCAAAACTCCGGACCGCAGGTGTATGCGGTGGCGAACGAACGCGCTATTGTCCTTACCAGGGGTAGCGCACTTCACCACCACACCATCCGGGTCCTTCGTTTTGGCTGTCTCTCAGCTAGTTGTATTGATCTTTTGCCATCAGCAATCACCTGTCAACGGGATTGATCTGGGGAGCCCAAATCGGCATTGAACCCAGTTAAGCTGAGGCTTAGTTATAATCACAATCTTAACTTTTTTATTTAAGGACCTCCCCGGTAAGGACAATAGCGCGTTCGTTCCCCACCGCATACACCGGTCCGGAGTTTTGCAAATATCTCAGCATTATACACGAGTTATATTTCGCAACATACCCTGCCATAAAAAAGAAAAAGGCAGTAAATAAAAAGGTTAAGATTGTGATTAGTTTCTTTACTTTCATAAAGTTCGCACGTGTAAGACGAAGAGGTGTGTGTAGCGCAATGGTCAAAGGCGTCCTACAATACACATGGCATGATCAATCCTCGTCCCGCCCCACAGTTTCCCAAGCCTTCGATCCCTCTGGGGTCGGCAAATTGCTGCCAGACTTGTCTAGGATGATAGCATCACTGGCTCGATACAGCTGCAGGTAACTGCGACTCATTGTAAAGGCACGTGTGCATCCGATCACATCTAACGATGCTCAGTTATGTGGAATGCATGGCACAACCCACAAGGATTGCTCAACGATGAGAAGCTTTATCCTTTTATTTTTTAACGTTCGTAAACGCTTGAGTTTTTTTTTTGGTATCATGTAGAAAGAATTTTTAGAAGCAGTTAGATCTGGTTCTCTCTAGTTCTGCACTGCAACCTTCAATATTTTTTGTTCTCTTTTTTTAGTAATGGGGAAATTCTTTAGGATCGTCTACCATCAGTACAGGTGCGCCCTGAATGGCAAGTTATAGAGGAGATGGATTTCCCTCGTCTACTGAAGCTCAGCTTGCCTGGTGTGGGAAATGGAGAGGATATTGGTAAACATCTTTACGGAACCCTACACTATTATGATAAGGTTTGTCCATTGGTGCAGTCAAGTTATTGTTTGAATCATTTGCGGCTAAGCTTGTTGTTTGTGATCTCTTAAAGATTATGTGTTTTCAAAATTACAAAGTTTCTTATCAGTCATATGGCTTTTTCTAGGTGGGAATAAAGGCTGCCGTAGTAGAAAACACTTTTTCTTTCAGTTTTTAAAATTGTTTAGGGGAATTTGCTTTTCCTATGACAGTTTGCTTGTTTGATATATTTGGCGAAAAACTGTTCATTTCAGACAATTGATCGTGTATCTGTGAGAACACCGATCACTCTGCAACGTTGTGGAGGAAATTTTTACAACATAACAACCACGGAAGACCCGGTAATTGAAGAATTGGCTCAGCAAGGAGTTGGAAATGTTTTTGCCACTGATATCATTCTTGCTACACTTATGACTGCGCCAAGATCGGTGGGCATTTCATGTTTTAATTGGCTCGAAACGATTTGCTTGAATTGTGAGAGCAGAAGTTATAAGTGAAATTGTGATGCAGTGTAGTTATGCGGGTCTTTCGAATTTGGAATATTTCTCAAAGTGATCGAGAAGCAGAACAGACGTTGTTTATTGTCGGCAATTCGTGGCTGACATCAGTTAACCACAGTACGCATGGCAGAACAAACACATCCAAACGAGAAAAGCAGCATGACAAACGTGTCCAAATTGAAAGACTGAACTACTTTCGGCTTATTAAAAATGATACGTAACTTATATGGTCGCAAATATGTCAAAAACAGCATCTGGATGCCTGGATGGCCCGTCTTCACTATTTGTGCGGACATCTGCATTATTTCCACTTTTTCGGAGTTTTGCTAGTTTAACCATTGTAGTTTCCTGGGGTCCCGAGACCAGCCTGGTCAAAGTCTGCTCCAAGTTGTCACCAGCACAGCTAGTCGCTGGGCTTGTGGATTAGAGGGAGATTTGCCACCATGCGACTAGTGTGAAACAAGGACGCTGGTGGATCCTGGTATTGGTTTACTCTAGGCTGTGCTTCCTGATGGAGACGCCGGACTCCTTCTCATCTTGGGAAACCTTGTTGGGGAGATGAATACCTTCGCTCTACATCGCGGCCCGGCACCCAAGAATACTTCCCAGCCACGATGGAGCGCTAAATTGTTGGGAGGAAGAAAAGCACACAGTATAACCTATAATCCAGCTTCTCTAGGTTAGAGGTACTATTCAGAAATCTGTGTTCATTTGATACATAATGGCCTTGTTTTACAACGGTCATCATTAATCCGTGCCGATTCAGGTGTATTCTTGGGATATCGTTGCACATCGTGTAGGCGACAAACTCTTCTTAGACAAGCGTGACACTGGCGGTATATCCAATCCTGTCGATGCTCTAACTGTGTCCGAGACGAGTGGTGACCCACCCTCGTTTGAGGGTGCTGGCATCAATAATGCAAAGGTTTTTTCTGTTTCTGTATGAATTATTTCTTACTGGAGCCTCAGTTGTGAGCTATCGTTCCTGAAAAAAGAAGAAAAAAACAGTCATGAATAAATGAAGCGAGGATATGTTATTGTTATTGTATTGCTCTATTCTTTTCCTAGAATGATTATTACATGACTTTAATTGTGTTTATGCAAATTACTTCAATGTCATACTCGCTATTTTCCACCGTTGTTTTATCTTTTAGTGCTGAGTTTTCGAATCAAGATTCACAGAGGTGTTAGTTTACTGTCTTTACATCCTCAAAGGGAATAATTTCCTCAAAATTCGTCATTTCTATTGCTGGCATTGTTTTAGGATCTAGCCACAGAAGCTCTATTTATCAATCAGAACTTTCGCCGCCAAGTACTGAAACGCAACGAACAACCCTACATTATGGCGAATCCTAGAGCTCCTTTTGAAGAAGAAGGTGGAGAATCAGGTTGCGGGTATCGGTATGTTTTGAATCAAGGAATTGGGTTTGATTTCGTAAGTTTTCATTAGCTTGATTAAGCAAGCGAAATGGTTAATCGTGGGAGATTCAACAATAACGTGCACAAATGGTCTTTTTATAGGTATCGTAAATGGAATCTTGGAAAGAATGCAAGTGGCAAGCCCATTGAGGTCGTGTGTCGAACTGAACATGATGGAGTTATGGTAACTGTGGTTCCAATCTCTAGAATTCTGTCATTTTCAGTGCTCAAAAAGTGTAGAAAACCATAAAATAGATGTTATTATAGGTTGGACCATCAGGAGATATACAATTCTTAACTATTAAGGCATTCAATGAATGGGATAGTTCACAGTCAGGCGGTGTGGATTGGCGGTGGGTTGAAACATTTAAATATTATAACAGTGCTAAAAACGTAACTTGAATTACCTCTCTGGACCTGTGTGGATTTCATCCTACTGTAATTAAGACAATGAAAGAAGTCGTAAGTATGAATGATTGGACTGTAGGCATAAATGGCAAACATATTTCCTGTTTATAAAAATTGTTTTAATACTGTTTCATCCTGTTTTGTTGCTGGGTTGTGTGTAGCGCAGTAGTCGGAGGCGTACGGAAGTACACGTGGGATCGATTCTTGCGGCACAAGTCCACCAAGCCCTCCATCCTTCCGAGGTCGGAAAATCTGTAGCATACTTATCTGAGAGGATAGCAGCGCTAGCTCGATACATCGGTGGGCCACTGCGAATCATTGCAAAGGCCAGATATGCATTCAGTCATTTCCAACGATGCTTGGTGAAGTTGAATGCATGGCGTATCCCTCAGGGATTGATCAACGCCGAAAAAGAGCTTTACTGTTTCACATATGAAGTGGCAGCAGTCGACTTTGTAAATGGTATCTTATATTATTGTATATTTTAATATTTAAAATATAATGGTAATATTTTAAGTAGATAATTTTTTCCTAAATAATAAGTTAGGTAATATATTGGTGACAGATGAGATTTATTGTTTCATTTGTATGATATCATTGTCAAAATATTGGTACGCGAAATCAGTTTATGGGTAATCAAAAGTATTCTAGAGTTAAACTAGATGGACAGAAAGGAGCTGTTCTAGCAACGGAAATCAAGAACAACAGTTGCAAGCTTGCCAAATGGACGGTGCAAGTAAGCTTTCATATGAGTTATTCACACTTGGATACATGGACGGCTCGTCTTCCCTAGTTGTGAGGGCCTCAGCATAATTTGCATTTTTTCGGGGTTTTGATTTTCTAGCTATTATGGTTCCCTAGAGTCCTGAGGTCAGCCTAACAACTCTGCCCCAGGTCGTCACCACCACGGGCAGTCTCCGCCCTTGTGCATCAGAGGGAGATTTGCTATCATGCGACTAATTTGATATCACTCTTAGCTAGACTGCCGCGATGCAAACGTGAAACGGGCTTCTTCTCAGTTTAGGAGACCCTGTTGGGGGTTGAATCTCCCTTTTCAAGTCTTAATAATCAAATTTATCGACGTGTGACTTATCAATACAAATCTAAAGATGGGAAAGGCTTTTAAATTGCTTCCGAGGAGAAGAGAACCGGGCGTGCCATTGATTTATTCTTTAGAAACTTCATGGAAAGGGTATCGGTTCAGTAAAGCCTGGAAGATTAACTAAATTTCAAAAATGCAAACATTTGGCTTTAATCCATTCTCGACTGCACGTCTATCTGCAGAAGACGCGGTTTGATTTCAGCACATTTTGTTTTCAGTTCCTTTTTGCTCCATGTAGTTTTTTTTGCTGTTCTTCTTATACTCCTTTGACCGTTTACTACTACAGATGCTATAGAAAATATGATAGTGGTTGGGGAAGTGGGTTCTCTCTAAAGTCATTGGATAGTTGTGCTGGAGCGTTCCCATGTGGAGTAGAGAGAACGAGCTAGAAGGGAAATTTTCCAAGAATTGGTCCATTGAGACAGTGGCCAGTGATTATAAGTTGAATGATTATGATTAGTTATCAAACCTATTACATCGTCTATAGCTCAAGATGCGATTTCACCAATACGCTAAGAGGAACAGTTGATGCTTCCAGGCGTTGCTTGCGAATTCCGATGCGATCAAATTTGGTTACGTTTCTCGCATGTCTGTTCGTAACAGTGCACAACACGTCATTCTGGGCACACAACAGCTACGGCCGGTAGAATTTGCGCAGAACATCTCAATGAATCTCGATAATGGATGGGGTATATTGCGTTGCGTCATTGACAGGTTTGAAAAGTTTCTAATCTGACGTGATATTTCTAGTTGAAAGGTAATCATATCCATATCTTATCTCAAAAATCAAATTCGTTAAGTTTACCCACTGTTTAGTCATTGAGTATCTGAGTAGCACTTTTAAAATTATTCAGCTTGAAATCCCTTTTAAATGTCTATTTCCTATCTAGGACATCCACAAAAAGTTCTTAAATATGTTCTCAGCACAAAGTGATCGCCTCTCAAAATGCCAAAATAAAATCGCGTTCTTGCAGCTGTATGCGCCAACCGCAAGGCAAGTATCTTCTAATGAAGGATCCGCAGTCGCCAGTTATAAGGCTTTACTCTCTGCCGGAAGGTACATTTGAAAGTGACCAAGACTCGAACGAAGACCATGGAGGAGAATCTGATGAGGATAACTAGGTCATTGTTACATATGGGGCGGTAGGAGTTTGGGTAATTTAGTTGTCTGCGCGTTATTGTTGATTTCATCACAAACTGAAAAAGCTTATATTCCATTGAATAAAACTAAGCTTTGCAATGTCCTTTGTAGAACTAATTTTCACATATTCTATCATTACTTTCTCTGTCTAAACGCTATTTAATACATTGAAATAAATGCAATAACCAAAACAAAGGCAGTGGAACAAGGCCGAAGTGATGAGTCGACGATTGTCTGCTTCGGCATTCTTTGTGTCGTCATTGGCATTGTTGCTGGTGGAGGTGAAGTCACAAGTTTAGTAGTGCGGTGAGTAGTAGGTGGAATAGCTTCGGCTAAATTTTCACTTTTTTCTATCATAAAAAATACATCAGAATATTTTCGGAAAAAGGATAGGAATGTTACATAAAGGAGCAAATTGAGGATCAGGTACAGTTTAAGGAGGAAGGTGAAGTTTTATGTGTCTCAAGTCCGTTGTGTTGCCAATGTGAAGTTGAGTATGCGTGCACTATGTGCGGCTATTCAGTACGGAAATAGATTGGCCTCAGTGTGGTACGAATATGCTTTTCTCAGTCGTTGAAGGATTTCTCGATACCTGAGGGCTTCAGATTGTGTGGATGTCTTCTCTAGCTAGTGTTGCTGGTACAACATGACCCAACACAAAAGTGGTTAGAGGATTCTGCTTACTGGTCATGATACATGATTGAGTTGCTGATATGAATATTAACAGTTTCAGTATTTCTCGAGAGAACACGTATAAGGATCATCATTTTTGTCCGTTGCTAAATATTATAATACATAGCTATTTCATTGTCATTCCATCAAATTCTTATTGAAGAGTTAACAATGGTCTAAAGGACATAGAAACTTACTGGTGGCGGTATTAATACCCAAGACAGTATCCGCAGGTTTCCACGGTTTGATTGGCGCAGTGAAGTTTATTGAATGCACACCTCGATTTTTGACTGAAACAATACGTGAGATTTGCAGCAGGTTTTTTGAAGAAGTGAAAATTAAAGCATAAAGTGCTACAGCCTGTTGGCGAACTGAAAACAGCGGATTGGAATTCTTTTTTTAATGGTCGGTACAATTAATCGATGTCTTTTATCTGCTGATAATCCCGAGATTGTTATAAAACTTTTAGCGAACCTTTGGATGCCTTTGTCCTCTTCAAAGTCAGAATGATCGGAGTCGATTGTCCACAACTGTCCATTGTTGTGATTTGTGATTGCATAGTCGAATCGAGTCGAATCAAGCGGTTTGGAACACCAATCGTGTGAAGCAACCTCACTTCACTTGATTTGATTGGATAGCGACTAAGCAGATCCACGGCGCGAGGACAACCAACTGTGGACAATCTACTCGAATCTGTACGTTGACGAAACAGCTGAGCTTTCAGCGAAATCCGACTTGCTTAGTGAATATTCCCAAAAATGTGCTACTATATCCATCCGAACGAGTTTTACTGCTTGTCATCCAGCAGGAAACACATGTTATCCCATCCAGAGATTGTTACAAGTTTAAAGACCTTTCTAATCGATGTATTCGAAATATTACATCACCCTGTCAATTCAAGGAAACCGCTGCTCTTTGGACAGTTTCGACGCAAGACAGCAAATCTGCTTCGATTCTACATGGGTCGGTAGTTACTTGTGTTAAAGATCTGGGAATAGGCGTTGGAAGACGAACAACACATGACCCAGACTTTCGTTATGGATAATATCTGCAGGACAACGAGAGAAATGGAATTGTCGAGGATCGCTCGATTTGGGGGAAGAGCCACCTAAGTATCGAAGTAACGAAGTGTTTTCCTCTATACCTCACTATCGGGAGCGGAGAACGGAATGATTAGAACGCCATGCAATACCTGCATGGTCGCAGATCCGAACCTTGGGTTGTCCAAATAAACCTTTTGTTCCACCAGATTTGGGAGATTGTTACAAAACCTGTTTGGGGAAAGCTCAATCTGGAGCACAAAATTAGTTTACTGCCTGTGGTGATGATCTGGGAGCGCTCCAACAGAAGTGTTCCAGGATTCCGCTAAGAACCCATTTGACAGGCATCCAGTGACATTCGTGAGGAAAAAAATCTCAGCTAGCAATCGGGACCCACGCACGAAAGCGAAGTTCTACGACATGGCAGGCATAGGACAACGAACCTAGTAAGGAAATATTTTAAAATCTACATAACATATATGAAGGTAGATCGTTTAAATATAAACGAACAAAATGGATCTCATAACTGGAAGAACTTTTGACTTTGGATTTTAAGTTTCGCCCGGCTGACCCTGGCAGTTGAAGGTTTCGCTGCGTTTTTCTAGGATAGCTCTTCGAGTTGGTTAATGCAGGCCTTATCACTATCAAACTCACGTATTTTTTCATTTTTTTATTTTACATGCCTGCTCCTTACATCCACTGAGCGGATTCCAGCGCTCCTCGCATTCGATTATTTCCGCGCATCCGTTATCCACAAAGACCTTCGAATTCTGTGCTCCTGGGTTCGGCTGTTTGTCGACAAGTTGCGACATAATTATGATTGCGGCTAAATGCTCGTCGAGTCCATCCTCCATAGAATCTTCAGATAATCATGCTAGAGTATTGCCACGTGAATTCGAGGGAGGCAGTTGGTTCTAGACAAACGTGGCACCAATTTCCCTACCCCGGATGCATAGAAGCTTGGTAAGCAGGGGTTTGGTTCGAAGGTCCAGTACCGTGTTTGTACGAACTTCTACAAATTATGGTTTATTCACTTATTAACAATGTCTGTCTGAAGTAACAGGGAATGTTTTCATATGCATGTTTTCACTCAAAGAGGAAGTAGCTAACGCAGCTGTAGTGATCCAGTTCATTACCCAGACGGTCCACCCTAGTCAGAGTATAGTTCGACTCCGCCTCAGGCCCAACAGGTCTCTCATCCTTCCGGACCTGGTAAACTGGTGCCAAACGTGTCTGGGACGAACTATCATGCTTTAATGCACACTGGAATGGTCTAGCACGGCTCTGTCAGGATTCCAGAGAGATTCAACTTGACTAGCATTCGACAAAATTTGTGACGAAGGCGAAAAATTCCTCTAGTAGCAGCTGAAGGAACCCGCAAAAAATTCCAAGTCCGTGAATGGTGTGTACGACGAAGCGAGTCGAAGACAAGAAGCACTGGAGCCCGCACAGTATGATGTATGTGATGTGGTCACGTAACAAATTAAATAATAAACAATAGCTCTCACACATTTGACTTTACATGCTCGATACCCTAAAAACAAAGATACATACCTCCATGGTATTTTAGAATATCGTCCATATAGAACAATTCGACAGTATGGGCGACTTCGAGTGCCGATGGCGCACCATGTGAGTAGGCGCCTTGTTGTTGACCTTTGGCCGACACGACAAACAGCCGTCCCGGGCCTAATGGATGATCAGTGGGTTCGATCTCTGGAAATCTTATACCTATCGGCTCCTTGTCAGTTAATTCTGTAAGTTTACTTCTTTTGAAAAAACGAGGAAACGTGTGGTGGAATAGAAGATGCTAGGAATTACATTAACCTTGCATCGGTCTTCGGAACATAACAATCGTTCGTCCGTCTAGTTCTCGTCCATATGTCCCTACTAATGACATCTCACCTTCGTACCTGGAGAAACGGCAAAGTCAACAAATTTTCATTGAATTCTCACAATCAGCTGGAGGAGGTTAAACGAGAAAAGGTGGTTCATGTGGTTTAGTATAGCAACCACCTATATAGACACTTTCGCACATTGCTTTTGCCACTAAATTCTTCAAATCTATCCCTCCTCGCATAACTAGGTTCTCAGAATTGTGATTAATTACTTTTGAATGCATACGATATCACAGGACCTCGTTCTTGAAATGTTCAGTTATTCCGAGAATTTGAACCTCTGAGATGTCGAATACTCCAGCGAAGTATATCATCTACCAGTGCCCAGAAACAATACCAATAACTGGGGATTTCCTCCACCGATCGCTTTTAATAGGAGGGCCTCAGTCGCGATGCCACATGGCCCGTCTCCAGGTGGATAGATCGGCGGTTAAGTGTTAGCCAAAAACTACTTACGTTCACTGAGGTGCATATAGATTCAGGTCGCTAACTCTTTGTTTTTACCGTACAAGAGAGGTAAATTAAATTTATTTTGTCCACACTCGCAAGTATATTATTCATGGGTATATCTGCACATATGTGGATTGTAGTCTACACATTAATTTGGCCAAAAGAGCGTGATTGCAATCAAATGAATGAAAAGTATGCGGGAGGTGTCTCCAATGAATAAATTCGTCTACTTAGGGTAAGACCAGCAAGCTAGCATATAGTATAACCAACTTTTACACCAGAGCTCGAATACCTCATAGGATTAATTGCCTAAAAGTGTGTGAATAAATGGTCTCGCTCGTTTTATGCTAAAGGAACTCCCATACGACAACATTGGGCTGTACGAATTTGTAACGGCCAACACAGCTTATTAGACGCGGACGTTGATGTAATCGTTAAAATGAGTGGCAGTCGAAATGATGTAGACCGCAGACAGCTTTGAAAATCTTCATCGTTCAAACGTAGGTTATCCGAGTTCTTTATGATAACTAAAACAATCAACGGTAGTTAGAAACTCTAAAAACCTTTCTCTAAACATGCTGGAGTTCCAATGTGGAATGCCATAAGTGCATATACCACATCTTAACAAACTGAAGATTATGAAAAGTTGATCCGACGACCGCCGTCTCCTTCCAAGAAAAGCATGATTGCTGGCTATGGCTGCAAAAGCTAGGAAAAGTGTCCACAACGCTTGTCAAGTTCTCGGCAATCACAAGGTCAAGGTAGTTGTACTTTGGTATCCAGATAGACCACTCACTACATGAAAAAGGACGTGCAAAACTCAGCCACTAGTTTACCCTATGATTGTCACACTCACCAGCTTCCATTTCAGATCAAAAATCAATGTCCTACTGAGTGGTTCTTCTTCCCACAAACTGACATACTATCTCTTCGGCAATGTACCATTGCGAACTTACCTGCCAATGTGCAATCTTAAGTTAACAGAGAACTAACAGTACCGCATTGTTGTCCTCAGGGTGTAGTATACATGGACAACTCTTATGCAGCTTGTCTTCTTACGATAAATGGCTTCGCTTCTGTTTTTCCATTCACGTTTAAAACAGAAAACATTGCCTATTCATCGAAATAGGTGTATTCGGATCGCAGTTATTATGATGAACGACTTGGCTCCAGAGCAAAGTAACAGGCTACCTCACAAGAGCACCACGGGTGTACTACAAGCAACCGTTTCCTTGACCACCTTTTCGATTCCACGATTCTTTCTGGCTTAACACGTGTTGGAGGCCTTTACTCAAGTGAGTGAAAGATCACTCAGCGCCATCAAACACGCTATCCAAAGTAGTGTTCGGAGTATGCTATTAAACAAAAGGAGACAGCTCGTAATTCCGACATACGTCGCCCATCAAAGAGAGGAGGCATCATCGTTTGTGCAAAGACATCGAAAACCCGATGGACCTGATACCTTGTACGTCTTAGCCATAGTAGATGGATAAGGTCCAGTAACAGTTGGGCATCGTATGGTGTTAGACGCACAAGAGGTACATTCAGCTACCAATGTTCTTCACAGCTATCGTAGAAGGAAAATAACGATCTTCGAGCTCTTGAAGACAGCACAGATCCTCTAGGCTACTCTTGAATATCTAAGCAGTAATGGCGTATTGCTATTGTCTGGTGCAGTTAGCCGATGATTGACGGCAGTATAGGTGATATAGCTAATAGGAAGTAGCAAAATTGCAATAACCTTGCTAGTGACAAAAGTGATAACTGCTCACAATTGATTCTACCACAAGTATTGAAGTTTTCGAGTTACTTGCTCACTATGCGGTCGGTTCAGTGGCCATAAACCTTGGTGTGATTTCGCGTTGATTCCACAGGGAGGTATTTCAATTAAGTAACAAACGAGTCTAACCTGGAACGCTATTCAGCATCATTTTTAGCAAGAAATATTTACTACAAAATTTGCACCAATAAAAAACTATCATTATTTTTGGATAAAAGTAGTGTTTCTTAATTTTGTAATTGTTCAGACAGAAGCACAACCACAATGTGCTGATATTTGCAAAACCCCGCCCAGCAGGTGTTTGCGGTGGGGATCGAACACTCTAGTACCCTTTCCGGGAGTTAACGTGTTCACCAGCACACCTTGCGGGTCCTTCGTTTCGTCTTTCTCGGCTAGTTTTTCTATCTACCAGTTCAATCAGCAATCACCCGTCAGCGGGATTGATCTGAGGAGCACAAATCGACATTGCTCAGAATGAAGTTGAAACCACAATACAATAGGCCTCATAGAAAGCGGTGAGTGTGCAAAGCTGTGTTCATTGTGATCGAAATCTTAGTTTAAAGTTTTCTCTGTTTGGTTATGGAGGTGTTTGGCTGAATAGATTGCTATCAACTTGACCTTTCCAGACTGAGGAAGGCGAAATTAGCCTAAACGTCAGCTTGTTCGTAAATAAAGAATAAAAGTAACACCTCGCGTTTGCTCAACAAAAATACGATGAAACCACAATGTTAACTTTTTGTTTTCTGCCTACTACAATTTTTCACGGCAGGGTATTATGTAAAATACAACCACAATCGGTATCGTGTAGTACGCAGTCCACAAAGATCCACCTTCAAGAATTGAGCAAATACGGAGGAACGACTAATCAACTAAGTAATCCATGTGCTACTCTTCCTTAGTATTCATTCTGTCAAACAATAAACCTACTGCTGGACTCTCACAGATTGAATGGCTCATGTTCACTAGTTGTAAGTACTCCAGTGCAATTTCCAATTGACTGGTATTCTGCTGGTTGAGCATAGCTTTTTCTCTCAGAAGGTTCCAGAATAGCTCCGTCCATCCATTTCAAGGCTGGTATTGCAGGCATTAGCCAACAGTGGGGTTCCTCTAAGACTAAGAGAAATTCTCGCATAGAATCGCTCTTGGCTGGATTTATTAAGGCATTAAGGCTGGATTAAGGAATCGATGTGTAGGCATGAATATGTCTAAATAAAATTGTAAGTTGGTGTTCTCAAATTGTGCCCTAATCGCATAATCTAGTACCGCTGTCCATGAGTTTTCCTCAGCCCTTAGTCTTAAATTAATGTCATCTTCAGATAACACTCTCTCTGCTACTGCTAGGTATGAAGGCTTTCTCTTATTCTAAAATGCGTAAAAGGAATATTCGGAATTGTTAAAAAATTGAAAACAACAAATTGGGATTAATCGTGATTTCTTGGGACAGAATGTGGTTTTCTTTCAAAGGAAACACATGGTTAGATTTCCAGGCATGGAAGATGTCTAAAAATATAATCGATACATTGAGAACAAACTTATCCGGTCTTTCGCACCGAGAGTTTTCCGAGACGTTACACATAAATCAGTTTACGGTTTACGGATTGCTTGAAATACCAAACACCGCTTGGGATGCGATTCGCGATACTCCCAAAAACTGTTGCTAATGCAGAAATTTGAAAGATTAAGACAGTGGATTGAACTGTGGAGGCACGCCAAGGGACTGGTCGTTGCTCATATAAAGTGATTTTGCCATCAACTATATCTGTGATCAGAATGGAACAATTTGCAATGCACTGTCGTTACTGCATCCACATGTGCTGTGTCATGGGATTAATATTCGAGGTCATTGATCATCGTTATACAACGCGAGGAGTTACCTTGTTAACGCACTATTACTTCTGTCACTTTTATGTTGTATGGGAAGGTATAGCACCTCAGAGGTAATAAATAACCATAGTCGAGTAGGGATAGTACGCTTTTCACGTGGTGTTTATCACCAACAATAAGACAGAATAATGGTTCCTACCAAAAGTCCTCTAGGGGCGTAGATCGATCTCGGGAGTATGAATCCTGAACGCGAGTACGACCATCTCGTACGGCCCCAATCAAGATGTCGATACAATCCATAGCGTGCAGTGGTGCATTCAGGGCCGACTCCGCTGCAAACAAAGAATGAACAGTGATATTTACTGTTATTACCAAATTGCTAACAGAAAACATGTTCGAAAATGACTTGTGTGTAACTCGAATAAATAAACAAGTTCTAAAAACAACACTAAGAAACAAAAAAAATAAGTCTTAAAATAAAGCTTCATGGAACACGTGAAACATCCAATCTAAATTTTGTTATAATTTAAGAAATTGGGGGCTCACATAGTCCGTTATCATGTGGCATGGTGGGTCGTGGTCCCTCTTGTGCGATTCGTGTTGGCGGATGATCACGATCGAAGGCGAATTCACCACTGTGCAGTCGGCTCGTCGTTGGCGATTGATCTCTCTGGAATGGAAGATTCCAGTGTAATGTTTAACATGGCGATTGTTGATGTTTATATCTCCGTCTGTTCACGCTCACACTCACTTTGTTCAACCGTTCTGAACGTTTTCCGTTTGGGATTCATACACTTACAGTATACTGTTTGCTCTAAGCTCGGCAAAGTGTTCTTCTCTGTGAAAGGTCTTGTAATCTCATCTGATCGACTCTCTTTGTTTAAGCTATTGTGCTCTTGTCAGCATGCGTTTCGCATAATTGAGTGTTCCTGTACAGGGTTCTTTCTATGCAATTTCTCTACTTCAATGTAAGACGCATTTAGTCATACCTCAGATTGCGCCACTAACAGAAAAAACTGCAAAACATCTCTCAAGAAATAATTCAATTTCTCTACACCTATAGCTCCAACAACTTTAAATGACACAGAAGCATCGCCAATCTATTGCAAGAGTGCTCGCCTTTCGTATTAATTAAATCCTATTTCGTAAGTTCTCGCATTACAATCCGGTCGCGCTGCCTTCTCCACAGTATATTATTTGTAAAATGTCGAAATACCAAAGTTTGAGGTACATATAGTGGAAACAATTCGAAGGCTCGAGCGGCAGAGCAGTAAGCCTGGTATTTCTACTTCATACTCGAATCACAATATGCGAAATTTTTGATAAAATTTGCTATCAAATTGAAGTAGTGGTTATCAGTGAAAGCCCACGACTTTGTTTTTCATGTTTACAAAAAATCTCATGATGAAATGTTAATAAACAGCACGATATAACCAGTTTCTTCGAGTTGTAAAATAGTTTTACCCGAAGGCGAGCAGATTGTGGCTGGTCAACTGACGGCATCTCAACGTATGTAGATCGCTTAGAGCGAACTCCTGAAGTTAATCAAAGAAGTGGCCTATTGCTTAGCTTGTTTTAAATAGTACTATATATCTCATAGGGCCATTACTGGCTTTGCACAAAATCTGAAGATACGAACCAGGAACTACGTACCCTCGAGATCAGGGAACAGTCGACATGATCTATCAAGAACCTCCGGTCGCCATCCTATAGAAACCCATGATGTCGTCGCATAATCCAGGATAATTTCGACATCGCTCTAAGGCTCGATGGATTTATTTCAAAAAACGTAGAGGACAATTAATTAACATTCTATGCAATACATTCGAACGAGCTTGCAGTTTTACGTTGTTGATTAAATATGTACCAAATTTCGGGGCGACTATTTCAAAAAGTTTTAAAGATAAGAACAATATTGCTGAGATATTTGCAAAACTCCGGACCGCAGGTTTCTGCTGTGGGGAACGAACGCGTTATTGCCCTTTACGAGGAGTAACGCGCTCACCACCACACCATGTGGGTCTTTCGTTTCCCCTGTCTCTCGGCTAGTTCTATCGATTTCTGCCATCAGCAATTACCCGTCAGCGGGATTGATCTGGGAAGCACACATCAGCATTGAAGCCAGTTAAGCTGAGGCTGTAGTTGAATTTACAATGTTTACCATTTATTTTCTACGGTTCGGAGTTTTGCAAATACCTCGGCAACATTGTGGTTGCATTTCGGTTAATACCCTGCCGTAAAAATTATAGTAGGCAGAAAATAAAAGGTAAACATTTAAAGGTAAACTTAAAGTGTCAAATTTTCTCACCTTCACTTTACGATAATATACAAAATCATCGTCAGCAAGCTTTTCCCGATTGTAGCAGGATGAACTGAACATTCCGTACATGTCGAAGCGTTGCTCATCCACCATTTCGTACGCAAAACAGTTGTCCGGTTCCCGTTTGAAAGCTACAAATACATATGTATGAGCTGTTTATTAAGCTTTTTGGGCCTTTTTTCCACGTTGACGTGCACATAGTTGTAAAAATTACACACAGCAATTGTACTAGGAACACGCTTTCTTCGGTAACCTAATAGTTCTTGGAGCAATGGTATATTCATAGAAATAGAATGCAACGTAATGGAGGAATTCATTCGTTATCAGCATCTCGGAATTCTTCGAGAACAGATTTGTTATTTCTCCCAAGTAACCTCATCAAAGGGCAGATAGCGCAATGGTAGCGATGTCCGTCATCACGAGCGTGGTGCTACTTCAATTCCGCTCCGGGCCGACCAAACCTCATTCCTGCGGGGTCAGGGAATTGGCATTGGACTTGCCTGGAAGAAAAATACTCTCCGCAATCCAATTGGGAACGCTCCAGCCCAGCTATCCCAGGAATTCAGGGAAAATTGCTCGACCAGTCTTCCACGACATTCAAGATAAAATGAAAAATTCTCAAGCAGCAACCGAAGCCACACGTAAAAAGTGGGAAGATTTACGTGGACACTAGATGCGAGGAAACTAATCGAATGTGAGAAGTGCTGGGATCCGCGCAGAAGACTGTAGACGGATCATATAAAATTTAAAAATTAAAAAAGCTTCACCAAGAGTAAAAAAATCTCAGGAATCACTTCCATTATTGCAAAAATCTAGTAGTAAGACGACAAGCCCTCGTGTTACCAAAGAAAGCTCGCGACTGGCTGCTGTAACGGCTTGGGAGGCCGACGATATTTTCATTCTAAGGAGAGAAAATGTTACGAAACCAGGAAACCGCTAGTCAAGTAGTCAAATCGAGAGCGTACGGGACCTTCCCGAATGCGTTTGAAGACGAGCTAGTTGAATATCTAAGTGTTCAAGTATATAGCAGAATAGGAGCATTAGCGCGCCAGATAAGGAATTGTGCGCTATGAGCAACTCACATGGTTATAAACGGCTTTTATGATTATGGGCAGACAATTAAACATGAAATTAACGAGTTTTGTTAGCTTGAGAAAAATGGGAAAGGAAAATATACTAGAAATCGGATCTATATCGCATGAAATGGAAGGATGTAGTGTTACGCCGTTTCTTGTCCGAGCCTATACTCTTTACATGGACATGATAATTTGATTCACCGCCATTTAGTAATGGACATAACTACACTGGGCTTACATAATTCACAATTGTTGCCGAAAAATCCGTAAGAACAGTAGCAGCTGGCAATGACGATCGAATTTGGTTCAGGCAGACATTTACCTCCGTTGAGACACTCGTCGTCGTGATGACAGTTAGCTGAAGCAGTAGTGGTTTCATGACTCCAGTTTTATGGTAGCTACTAAGTGTTAATGCAAAAATTAGCTATGAAAAGCTGCTTTTAGTTCACCAACAGCATAAATTTAGTAGTCTGTTAATGTAGAAAAGTCGTAGGAAGAGTACATTGTTTGTGCAGCTCTACGAACTGTGCAAACAACCTGCATCGCTGTGTAGATGCTTTCTTTTCAGAGAATAGCGTATCAGAAAGGATTATACCAGCACCTTTGCAGTTATTAAAAAATCTCATAAATATCGGAAATTTTGTGGTCACCATCAGGTAAGTTGTTCTCCTGGAACCCTATTGTTCTCCACCTGTCGTCTAGCCCTCTCTATGCATTTATTCTTGTTTGGTCTCAGTCAATGAAATGAGGTTGTAGAGAATATCGCAGAGAATAATGGCGAGCTAGGCGGTTCATATCCTATGCAGTGTAGAAATATTCAACTTAGAACCTGTGGAGAAAACTAACTCATATATTGACAATTGTCGCCAGCGTGTCCCTTATTGCATAGGCAGCCATTGCTCGTCAACATTCCGTGACCACTGCATTTCTCTTCTTCTGAATTACAAAACCTTAAGTTCGTTCTGCGAAAACAAGAACACTATGTATACAACTTTATCACCCGAAAATTGAAATGGCTTTCAGTCGCTGAGTAGCAACTAATAGTTTTATGCGGTCCGAGTAAAACCGGTTAGACATGTTTCTATTAGTATTCAATACCTTAAACTATTCAATAGTAGCCTAGCACTCATCTTACAGACTTTTCCTTAAAGGTTTGAGCCGTTGCCGACTCATTGTTCATATAAAATAGGAAAAGAATTTTGCTTCCATGTTGTTGGAAAGGTATACGCTTTATATATACATAATGTAGGACTCCTCCTAACGGTTTAACGCCTCATCGTGGCTGGGAGGTGTTTCTGAATGTCGGACTGCCATGTACAGCGATAGGATTCGTTCCCCCTGGCAGCGTCTCCTAAGCTGAGAAAGAGTCCGGCGTTTCCACCAGGAAACCTAGCAAAGAGCGAACCAATACCGGGATCCACCACCGCCTTAGTATCAAAGTCGCATGGTGGTAAATCTCCCTCTGATCCACAAGGGCTGCGACTGCCTGTGGTGGTGAAAACCTGGGGCAGGCTTTGGCCAAACTGACCTCGGTATTCCAGCAAACCACAATGGCTTAATTAACAAATTTCCGTGGGGTGGAGATTATGCTGGGGCTCTCACAACCGGTCAGGACGGGCCACTCAAGTATCAAGTATGCGCAAAACTACAGTCTGAAGAATCTTGTAGCGTGATAACAGGAAGCCAAGTAAGGCATGCATACTCTAGAGTTTCACTCGAGTCCTGAGACCTTCCTGATGTAGCTACCAAGAACTACTTTGCAGTATCTGAAACAGAAGTGTCCTTTATTATCTCGAGGGAACTAAAAGAGCGTTGGTGGTCTAAGAGTAACCCAGCATTCCAGAGATCAAAGTGGCAACGACCATCATTACATTATTGGTAGTGCTACAATCGTTCCGTCTACTAATCAGATCTATTTACAGTGACGAAAGTTTGAAAACTGGACAACAAAAACAAACAAGTTAGCCATTTAAGCTGCTCGTGAGCAGTTCTAACTTGATAATTTCGTACCAGATATTGTTTCAAGCACATTGACGTCTGCGCAGGTCCGCAAGCGGTAACTCTTTCCCCATTCAAGTGCCTGCCGTTCCAAAATAATAGTACACTGTGAACAAGGGCGAGTAATGTGAGCTTTCTGTGATTGTGCGCTAAAAGAAATTTGTTAAAAATCTCATCGTCGGAAAATGAGAGTTATCATTGTTATTTGGAATAAAGGAAAGATTTAGCCAGACAGAGTTCGCTAGCCCAAGTATTACGTTAGTTTTAAGCAAAACAAAACGCTGATGAGTTTTCTGGTTGCTTTGTGAAGAACGATTTAGTAATTAATTTGAAATGCTGATTTTTTTCTGTTCCACGTATTTTAGGCTCCGCAGAAATAATTAACACATTCACGACCGCCGTTGATTTCGTGGAGGGGAAAAAACCCCGTAAACTCGTCCACGATCTAAACACGCTGCATGGTAGTTTTTTAAAAACAACAGACAAGTTTTTGATAGAGGAGTTATAGGGTTTAGAACATCAGAAAACCTTGAGAGAGGTTTTGCTTTGTCCATCTAGAGGTGTGACGTTGCTACTATATGGTACTTTCCAATACGTTTCATTTGCTAAGCACGTTCCTGTCAAAATTTGAGAAGATTTCGCTCTTTATGTTGATTGCATGTCGGAGTTTCTGGTAGCAAACCATTCCATACTTTAATCACGGCTCATTTTAGCGATTGGCAATGAGAAACATTGAACTTTTCTTTTATTTTATACGACCCGTCTTCACGTCTACTATGCGGATCCCAGCACTTTTCGCATTCGATTCGTTTCCTCGCATCCATTGTCCACGAATATCTTGCAAATTTACATGAGGCTTCGGTTGCTGCTTGAGGATTTTCATTTCATCTTGAATGTCGTAGAATGCCGGTCAAACAATTTCTCCCAGGATTCCTGAAACAGGCGGGCTGGAGCGTTCCGAATTGGATCGTAGAGTGATTTTTTCCCAGACAAGTCCTGTACCAATGTCCCGGCCCCGGTGGGATGAGAGGGTTTGTTGGCCCGGAGCGGAATCGAACCAGAACTATGCTCATGATGACGGACATCGGTACCATTATGCTATCAGCTCCTAACATTGAATTACTGGTCTTAAAATAGAATATATGCTCAAAAACAGAATGATGACATTTTTGAAATGAAAAGACGCTCTTCTTCATATCCGGCCAATGAGTCCTATGGGAGTTAGTGTCGAGGTTCCGGATGGCAAAAGTGCCCATTTAATTTTCTACCAGTGTTAATGATTTGTGAATAGAGGAGTGTACGATTCTATTGCGTCTCATGCATTTTTCATTTCTAATATTGTTTCTATAATCTGCTCCATTGATATTTCGCTCACATCTGATTGTCAGTGCCTGCATATTCCATTCCATTGACCGGTGCAAGTTGCTCAACTGTATTTCCATCTTGGTCCGTGAGGATTATTCGATAGCCTCCCTTAGATGAGTGCAATTAAAATTAAAAAAAGAAGAAAACCAGTAAGCGTAAAAACAAAAGCAAAAGAAGGAAGATGACATCATAGCAGTGAGTTTCTCCTTAAACAGTTATTGCTGACTAAATAAGTAAGGTGTTGCTTGGAATCCCTCAGTAAATGTGTCATTACAATAGAATATAAGAAATCACATGTCCGATAAAAGGATAAAAAAAATAATGCTCTCGGCATTGATCAATCCCTTAGGGATGCGCCATGCATTGGACTTCATTAAGTATCGTTGGATGTGGCTGAATGCATATCTGGCCTTTACAATGACTTGCGGTGGCCTACCGATGTACCCAGCCAGTACTGGTATCCTCCCAGACAAGTCTGGTACCAATTTGCCGACCCCGGAGGGATCGAAGGCTTGAAGAGCCATGGCCGCTAAAATCGACTCCACGTGTGTATTGCACGGCGCCTCCGACCGCTGCGCCCCACGCGCTTCTACATCCTTCGTAAGTAACATAAAAGCTTATAATCCCTAAATAAATTATGCAGTAATCAGTAGATAAATGTTATATATGAACAACAGTGTGTATAGTACCTGGTGTGGGTACTGCATTCTCCAAGTGATGTTGTAGGTGCTGCCGGCTAGAAGATTTGTGTAGTGAGCTGAAAGAACATTTCAAAAATTTTAGCTCTTTATTAAAAACACGATCAAATTGACAAAACTGCTATTCAGGAAATAAACTTCTTAGATGTTTTGTGTTCACTGCGAAATGATTGTTGTACCTTAGTGGGAACCAGAATTTATTCAAATTTATCCAACGTCTATCAAAACACTTTAACACTTTCTAACGCTGTTTGATTTTTTTAAGGCTTGAAATATTTCGCAGCTTCGTGGTAGTGGCATCCATTCTGCTTAATACTTAAAGCTTATCTTAATGTTAAATATGGACGAGTTGCCTAATATAAAGCATCGTTACCGTAATGAAGGATAGCTTGCCACAATGCGACAAACCTTCCTCTATTCCAAGAAATCGCTGCCCATAATGCGATCCGGAAGCATGATACCAAGTACGCCTTTAGAGCTGAAGGTAAAAAGTCGCCTAACAAGCAACACAACAACCCCACTACCTGCATTACCGGTCTCCTATCTGTGACTTCGTAAGACTACATAATGGATGAGATAAGGGATGAGAGGAGAGAAGAGATCCCATCTCGGGTTGCAAGAGAAGTAACTGATGTATAACTAAATCAACAAGATGACTACAAGTTTCCGTTTCTTGTTTTTGCTATGCACTTACAATACTGTAGAGTTCTTGTCTAAGCGAATCTTCAAGCTCTAGCTAAAGCTGTAGGCTACACCAAATTCCACGTCTTCACCGTTTAGGAAGAAAGTGCAAGTAGATTGATTTGAACGAGGTAAAGGATCACTACTATATGTAGACAGAAGGTTCGATCATGATATTTAGACGACGTTGTTCTCATTTGTTTCATAACAAGTGTATCAGATCTTGAATTTCTCACTGAAGCAAATCATCCTGATTATTTCATGTAGACTACTATAGCGATTGCTTCAGGAAACGCATAAGTTCAAAGCTAGACAAAATCACACCCTTTGATTTAACATCTGCTTTCTTTCTAGAAATCCAGCTGGCATCACACCATAATAAAAGTAGAGCCGCAGAACGTGTAAATGGTCATTCTGCGCAAGAAGAGTCAGCAATCTTGTGGATCTTCGACACAATCCCTTGATTTGTCATTCGTTTTTGCTCTGCCGATTTTCACACTGGGACATGACGACTTGTGATGGAGCCGAATCCGTGGAGCTATATATCGGTAGCAATTATTTTCTATGAATCACATTTAATCCTTAATTGAAATGATGACCTGCAGGAAATATCACTTGTTTTTACTTTTCCCAATTTCCGAGGTGCAACCGTTTTTGTTCCATCATCAGCAGTATCAAAGAATGTGCATCAACGTTATTTCTGGTACAACTTCCTTAGAAGCCTTCGATAACAGATCAAAAGGTTTGACAACAAGTCTTCCTACGAAGACGCGCATGTTTTATATGGTCTCTCATTGTTAGCAGAGAAGTACTTCTATACCCATCCACACGAGCCACTGGCTTTGTAGCAAGAACCAGTCAATAGTCAATAATTTTATGCTTTCGATCACGCCACACGCATTCCACCGACATTCTGGAGTGCTAGCGTAAATTTGCTTTTTTTTGAGTTCCATATAAAACGAGAAATTTAAAAACCACCACAACCACTGAACCGGATCTAATCGCAGCAAGCCTAGTGTCAAGTCATAATCGCCTCTATGCAGATTTCTTGCAATAATACGTGAGTAATATCCAGCAATGGCTAGCAGCTAACAAGACGACGAACTTGCACACCAGCCTGTTCGCCAGAGAAACCTTAGAGTCGGCTTTTGATCATAACGTAAATCTGATTTCGCTTGAAGGAGGTTTCAAAACTGTCCTCAACTATTACAACCGTGGTGATTTCAAGGGTACCGTATAATGATGAACAAAGCCACAATACATGCTAGATTCCGCAAAATATAATACAGGATGTATTTGCAGAACTATTAAATAGTTATATGAAAGGCATCATCAACGCCAAGGTCGTACTCTTGTCACAATTATCACAGATCAAAATGTAGATGTCATGCTTTCTACATGAAAGGAATTTCTTCGAAGGAATTATCACCATGGGAGTGCTCCATCGTTTCCTTCTGAAATGAGGCGACCCGAGGTGGTGTGGAAATACACCAAAGATTCCCTAAATCTAAGTTCTCCAAGCCGAAAGTGAGCTTCACATTTCTATTGCGAAGCCAAGCTAAAAGTGAATCTGCCAGGATTCAACACCGCCCTGGTTGCAAACTAGTCGTAGGGTAATAAATTTCCTTTTGATTCATAGCGGTATGGGAAGGACTACTTATTATAGCGACCATTTGGCAAAGTCCTAGCATGACTACTACTTTACCGGACAAAGAGCTTTTTCGATCAGCAAAGTTACATTGAGGTTGTATTCGACACTTTACGACTGATTGTAAAGAGACGAGCCAAGTGTTTAAGTATAATTGCCATCACATTACCATATCACGGCTCTGTAGTGTTGTTATATCGCATTCCATCGCAAGAAGTAATTCCTTACCTGCAGTAATAGTGAGAAGGACATCATCCTTCAAGCCGAATCTCGCTCCACGCGCACTACAGCCGGTGCTGTAACTGTCTAACGCAACGAACACGGTATTTGTTCAAGCGGACAATTCCGAGCGGTGAGTGTAAAGACAGAGTTTAAACCAGCACAAAAAGAACTCAATCGGTGCAGAATCGTAAGCAGCAAGGATGAATCATAATGGATTGACAGTTTGTGAAAACTCCAATCTACACTTCGGATGTTCATTCAACAGTAACGCAGACCTGAATAGAAGGTTCAATGAAAAAAAGGCGAACTAGAACTACTTTCAAGGCTTCAAACAAGGCCACGAACAAATCGTAAGATAAGATCTTTACAACTTTCCTTAATTTGTCCCAGAAATATGAGTTGACACATCGGCTTTGTCGAAAGACTTGTGTGAATCATTGAGAAAGTTTAAGTGTCCTAAAAATCAAGCGGCATATTAAAGACTAAACTAGACTTCAAGATCCAGAGTTCATGAAGATGAGAAATCGTATCACGGAGAAAGAAGGCGATGCATGCTCAAAAAGCTAATCTGTCGCGCCCTTAAAGAAATTAAAAGGAGAAAATCGAAGAAGTTGGCCCAAAATGACGTGAAACCCATACAGCAAAAAGATAGAGGTAGTGAAACGGTCAAACTGCGAAAATACTGATTCTTCTTCACATGTTCAATCCTTGCACTTATATTTATTTCTAGAAATCCAAAGGACGAAATCGCTCTTCCCCTGTAGACGCACAAAGTATCTTACCTACTTCTACTACTTCTTAGTCCATGGGGCGATGTCTTTAATCCTCGACTGTCGGCTCGGTGCGAGACTCATTCAAATCGATTCTACGGTGTGATTCTAGTAATCAAACGGCGATATACAGTGATGAATGACGAGTGATAGTTTCATCTATCAACAGCCTTTTTCAGGATGAGGAGAGGTTTCACATTTCATTGGAGACCTCTTTTAAGAGTGAAACAATGTTAAGAATTGTCGTCTTTGAAGAAATGTATTACCAAAGTGATAAAACTTTATCTGAACTAATAATATGGGTGGCCATCACTATGGTAACGATCCATAATCGTTTTGGCACAATTCCTTCAGACCAAATGAAATAGCTTAATAAAGAAGAATTCTAAGACTTTCGAATAATCTTGGTCCAGCCACGATAGAACAGTGAACCGTTAGGAGGGATTTCAAATTTAGTTTCGTAATGTAGGAGCATCACACACCTTTTCGTGGTTTAGGCACTCCGCATGGTCCCATGGTTCTCGAAGTGTCGAGGAAATCAAGTGCAGGATACCGCGCTTCGGGGAACGTGAGTGCCACATGAGCATCGACCACAGCCAGGAATACCAATGTTAGCAGTGGGACTACGTCCCTCATCGACAGTTCTGGAAGCATGTTTTCATCTGTTGTTTTCTTATTTGCGGAAATGGAAACTTCGCTCAGTAGTTCACCCCGGCATCACTTCCACGAAAATAACGAATATTTGACATGAAAAAAAAATCACTGTTACACAAGGAGTATGGATACCGATCTTTGTAGTACAATAGGTTTCCTTTTCATCTAAACAGCACACGAATGCAAAAATATGAAAAGTTGTTGTAAAAGTGATTTAAAGTAATCGTGGGCTCGAACTTAGCCTGGGGTCCGAGTTTTGGAAACATCTCATTAACATAGTGGTTGTGTTTCACATAGTACCCTAATATGAAACAGGTAAAAGAGAGTGAATAAAAAGTTAAACATATCGAACCATTTTACGCGGATACAGCAAGTGCCATAAAAAAGGTTATGCTCTCGGAGTTGATAAACCCTAAGGGATGCGGTGTCCATTCGACTTCATCGAGCATCGTTAGAAGTGATTGAATATATATATATCTAGCTTATTTACTGACTCGCAGTGGATTACCGATGTATCGAGTCAATTTTCCATTTCTCGAGAGAAATCTTGCACCAATTTGCCATCTCAAATGGTTGGAAGGCTTGGTGAATACAAGGTGTGTGGATATCGCAGGGCATCTCAAGCCACTGCGCTACAAGCGCCCCCACCAAATACCATACGTTTTGTTAAGCGATTTCTATTGCTGATGTCAAGGTTGATAACATGGAAGCTCCTTATCATCTCCACGTAGTTTTAATGCTTCGCGAAATAGAAAAGGAAATGGATGAAAGATAGGAGAACATAATACTTAGCAGTTCATTATGACGATCGAGACATTCCAGAAAGGTGCCAATTTCAAACCTTACCTAGACCTTTTACGCTGGATTCTTACGGTAGTATAACTAACTTCAAAACACAGTCGTTAGTTCAAGATCTCACTTAACCAGTTGCAGCTGGAATGCATATCGCTGGATCGGAAGGTAGCATCTGCTGCGCCGGATTTGCATTCTTTTAGAGAATAGATACCACCACGATAGCGCCAAAACACCAAGGGCTGTCTCCGCCCATAAACTCTCGATTTGTCATAAAAACATGGAAAAGAAAGAGCAGAATGCAAATTTCAAGTTACGTTGGAACTTGCGAAGAAAAGAATAAGTACTACTTTAAACACCTGAAGGTGGATTATTCGGAATCCTTCGAGCGGTCCTCTATTCGTAGACAAAAATCGTATTTCGCCAATGAACAATCATAGAACTTTCACCATCAACAAAGTAGGAATACAAGATCGAAGAAATCTTTCCGTTAATATACTTGCTCTCCTGTTCACTGTCACCTGTCAAAACGCGAGTTCGGTGAACAATAAAAGGCCAGTAAGGACGTTCTACTATAAATTAGAGAATTATACCATATTTAATTTCAGTATTCGTCAAAGCTTGCTAGTGCCTGTGATCCATGAACTCTTTCTCCATGCGATTTCACTGAGGAAACGCAATATGATGAGGATTTTGAAAAGAATTTTCTGCAGTGGATCATATCCATGCCGTGATGAAATTTATCCGGATGTCAACTGAGCATGAAAGAATGCGGCGTCCTATTTTTGCATACTCGAATAAACCATGCACTTGAGACGGAAAAGACCATTAAGCTTGTGCTGTCGGAGCACTTTTTTCTAACTGATTAAACGTCCTTCATGGGCTACACAACAAGTTTTTTGGTAGCATTAGCAATTCTGAAGCGACTTCATTAAAAAGAGAGAACGATCTAGCAAGGCGATTCATATTGCCAAAATTAGTTACTTACTTGCATAATTGGATAGCACCTCCTCGCTGATTGTGCAGATCCCAGCAAAATTTCCACTATTCGGAGTTTTGCTGGTTTTGCCATTGTGGTTCCCTGGAGTACCAAGGTCATCCCAGCCAAAGTTTGCTCGACGTCGTCACCAACCCAGGTAGTCGCAGCCATTGTGGGTCAGAGGGCGATTTACCACTATGCGACTATTTTGATACCAGAACGGTGGTGAATCTTGACATTGGTTTGCTCTTAACCGAGCTTGCTGATGGAAACGCCGGATTCCTTCTCATCTTGGGAGACTGTGCCGGAGGGATGAATTCTCCTGCTGTACATCGCAGCCAGCTACTGAGGAGCACCTCCCAGCCAAGAGGTGGCGATAAACAGTTGGGAGGATTGCCAAAATTACTTGCAATAACTTTAGAGAAGACAATCGGAGAAACTGAAATGAGTTACAACATAGTGAACGTAAGTGGTAAGCAGCCACACTGTCTTCAATTTGTTGGTGACATTGTATGATATTGTATTGAATGACATGACACTCGTGACAATGTTCTCGGTCCCAGGCATCAGCAACGAAGAGCAAATGCTAACCACTTACTACTCAAGTTTGGAATAATTAATCTACGTTGTTTCTATAGAAGAACAGTGTATACGAGATACGATTTTTAACACACACATTTCTGATGCACAAAAGACCATTGATGCAGTAATGAAAAGAAGAGGAACATCGAATGCTGTGTTAATTGCGAAATCTAGAGCCCGCTGCTATGTTAGGAACATCCCAGTAAAAGCGAGATGGAGAAACCGGAGTTCCGTACGGAGCCGACGATCGAGGATTAAGGACGGCACCCCTTGGACTAAGTTGCAGTAGAAAATTAAGTAGGCGGACACCTTATGCATCTAAAAGACAACCTCTACGCAAAAAGTCGTTAGCTACTGGCAGCCAGCAGTATGCCAATAGCTTCGCATAAGGACTACTATGCATGTGTTGAAATTTTTTCATGAGAAACAAGAATGAAAAGTAAGGTCTTTTTGTGTCACTAGAGCCAGCAGGACTCGTTGAAAGGTTTTGTCGAAATCGTGAATGCAACTGCTTCCATTCGAGTCAATCTGTGTTTAACAAGAACGTAGGTCATGCAGGTGGCATAAATATACAGTTGCGACATTTCCAACCTCATGCTATTCTTTTTGGTTGAAGCTTCGAGAAATTCCTGACGTGTTGTCGTACCTTTTAAATAAACTAATGCCAATTTGTTTGGTCCTAGTTTACCTAAAGTAATAAAGATGCTGGTTTTAGTTGTATATTCTAAATGTATGTATGTAAAGTTCTACACCGCCGAGAAAAATGTGTGTTGATGAAAAACACCCATTTTCCGAAATGCGTCAAGCCAGTAGTTTGCGACACGGATCCTATTCTTGCTGCCAGCACGTAGCCGGTTGAACTGACAAAGCCGTGGAACGAACCTCCAAGCGAAACTCGAATCGAAGTCACGGCATCACTTCGAGGGCGTTTTCTTAGGAGGGAGGCGTAGAGAACAGAAGTGAACGTTTAGTGTCTAGAAAAGTGTAAGCAGTAAATAGAGTCGTAAACGAGACCATCTTCAGTCCGTAATGTAAATATCAGGTACGATCCAAGAAATAGCACTTTGATGAAGCACAACTGAACTTCGTCCATGAAGACACTCTGGTGCTAAATGATTTTCTGTTTAAGAAATGACAGTGGAGTTCCAGAAAAAAAGATGAAAGTTTGGCAGCTGACAAAGGCTGTTTATTTATAGAGTTTTCAATAAGGTGACACTTGTCCTTTCGCAGAAATACTCTCAAGTATTATCGACATCATCATATTTTCAACGCAGGAGTGAGTACCCAAGGCCGGAAGGGCTCTTAAAATCTGCCGTTTGTTAAGCAAAAAGAAAAGCTCTATTTTTCATGTCAACGAGAAGGACTCTTTCGTTATTTTGAAGTGGCAGGGATGATTTTCTAATCAATCCACTTCTTTTTTCCATATCTCAAGAGCGCTTATTTCAGTTATGATACGGGTGGAGAAAGCGTAGCGATGTACCAAATGATTGCCGTCATGCTTTAAAACAAATTGGTAGTAATTTTTGAACACGTAGGAATTAAGAGTTTGGTTTATCCACAGTGTGCGATTGAAACAGCAACTACTGTATGTATAGCGGAGCACCTCTACACATTGCGCTATGACTCTTAATTTTTTTGTTTTAACATTAGCCTTGATGAACTAAGAGCGCGCGTGGTGCAGTGATCGGAGCCGCACTGCAGCCCGCACGTGGAATTCATCCTCGCGCCCATGACCCACAAAGCCTTCCATCCCTCCGGGGTCGGCAAATTGGTATCAGACTTGTCTGGGAGGGTAGCAGCACTGGCTCGATATATCGGTAGGCCACCGAGAGTCATTGTAAAGGCTAAATATGCATTCATTAACCTCCAAATGATGCTTAATGAAGTCGAATACATGGCGCATCCCACTGGGATTGATCAACGCCAAGAGCTTTAACCTTTTTTTATCCTTGATAAACTGCTTATCAATCTTATCTCGAATTTTTCGGTTTTTTTAAAAATATTTCTTCGGGACTTAAACCGCCATAGTGTCAGTAATCGAGGAACAGAAGAACAGTGGATTCTACGAACCAGAATAGAAGAGAAAAAAACAATATTTCAAAATCGTCTTTCCTTTAACCTCGGTATAACTTATCAACATGTGTTTATGTGTTTGTTTTACTTATATTTTATTGTGTCCATCGAAGAAAATACAATATTTTTTGCTCAGATCACAACACATGCTGCGCCAAGATAAATTGAATTCAAAAGGCACAATATAGTGGAATCGCTGGCGCCTCATTGAACTATTCAACGCAATCGCGATGATATGAATTGAGTTCAAGGCATATGGTAGAGGGAGAGGGCCCCTCTTAGCTTTATATCAAGTTATCTAAGTTCGTTTTGCATTTAACTAATTGCAAGAAAAATTATTGAACTCTGCAAATCTGTGAATAAAAGACGCATGTTCTATTGTTCTACTAAGTCTTCTGGATTTTTGAAGACCCGGAAGCGTACTTTTTGTTAAGCCAGTCGTAAATGAAAGGCAAAAGCCATTGAATGACCAGGATTTCGCATGCGCCATTGTGCCTCCAAAGTATTCTCGATCCTAGCGACTGCTTCGCTTGCTTGGGAGATTTAAAAGATCTACATTTCGTTTTCAGTATCGAGATTTCTAATTCGGGACAAATATGAAATACGGAGAATATCAGCAGAGAACTGCAAAAATTGGCGCATAGTCTTAAAGCTATAAAGTTTTTTGTAGAAATCTGTTCAGCCGTTTGGGTCCGAAGTGTTTCGTGAAACTAACATCGCACTTTATGGCATGCTATTAATTTTTCGTCATCATAGCTGTTTTTAAACTTTTATTATGGTCAAAAATGTGACTCTACTATCTGCTAGTGATGTCTGGATTTCTTGAATACGGAGTTGAATACCGAGATTTTCGGAATATGGGTTCTTCTTTTCTGTTACATCTCGGTTCATATGAGCTATAATGCTCAGTTATCGGTTTTTCTTAGACTTAATCTTTATACGAGTTCTTCCCATGTGTTTCATAAAATGAAAAGGATTGCTTTTCCTAAAAAGGAAAAGCGTTGGAAAAATTGATGATGGAGACGAAAGTGATGAGTAGCTAATTGAGTAGATAAGTAGAATTGGTAAGAGTGGCAAACGAATGGCACAAAAACCGGGAACCAAAACGACACACTGTAAATGTTTACGGCAATTCACATTAACGGTCACTAAAGAGATAGAATAGGTGTTCTGTGACAAAAAAAAAAGAAAG